ATCAAAAATGAGTCGCTGTCGAGTCGCCTTTGGAAGTTAAAGTTAAATACGATTTCCCATGTAAACAAAAATTACACTCGACAGCCACTCATTTTTGATCGCATAGTATTTTGAAATCTTTTCAAACCCTTTACTAAACTCCAAAATACGCAGCTTTTTTTCGAATTTAACCGACTGTGTTTCTTACGGTTTCCGATTTCCCCATGCTGTTCATTCTTATATCCTGGACACACTGTATAGGTACCTACATAGATGAAATAATACTAGCTATACATAGACTCACCACACAAATTGTCACCTTCAGTGAATGGGAAAAAAATTGAAAATATAAACACATACTTACCTATAGGACAAAAGTTTCAGTCAACCCAAAAGGTAGGTAGGAAGATGAGAAGGCTGTATCTGAAAGAATGACAAAATATTAGAGTGATACAGAGATGAAAATGGTCTGAACAAAAAAAAATGAAAAAAGGATTTCGCCTTAGCGCATTTTCCATGAATTGATCAAAACTCCCGAATGGTCATATAACGAACTATTTATGTGCACAAAGGAAAATAAGTTAAGGTATAGATATTGTAACGTGATTTATAAATTCGGGTTCGATTTATATCAATATTTATTAAACAAAATTAAAATACTATAAAAACCGTACAATTTATATCGATTATTTATATCAGACTTTCGCGCTCGAAGTTTCGTCCGTACTCGTTCGATAGTAGACTGCCGCGATGTTCGGTCCGCAACCATTTATACACGCAAGCAATGTAAGTCTAGTACATTCTCGAATAATCGCGCGCGTAGAAAATTCCAGAGCGCCAAAGGCGACGTCATGTCTGGAGCATTTCCGTTACAATATACTCGAATCTTGACATCTTGACATTGCGCACTTTTACAATATGCGATATGCTTGTCTTTACTAGAAGCATATATGGTTAAAATGTCAAAAAATATCTCCATAAGTAAAAAAGTTGACATTGTGCAGTCTGCGCATGCGTACATTAATTTTCAATATCATTATTAATAGCGCCTTTCAACTTTTTGGACAAAGCTATGGAAATTGGTGCCATGCTCATTTTCCTCTGGAACCCCCGTTTGGGGGGGGGGGGGGGCTTACGTAAATGTTGATTGCTAATGACTGGACAATTTGTTTTGCAGTCTACTAAGCTCCATAGTTGTGAAAACAAGAATATTTAGGGTCGACTACCTGGGGCACAGTAACTATCACATAACGCAGTCAGGGCTATAATTTGAGCCTTTTCAGCGCTGGTTGCCTACCCCTTCAGGTGCTGATAAGCAGTTATTTGCGGTTTATGTGACTGGACTGTCTCTCCTAACCCCCCCCCCCCCCTCGAGACCCACACAAAATCCAGTTTATGACTTTTTGCCCACCTCTTAAGTGAAGCCTAATAATTACCTGCCTGGATGCTTGGCTTCGCCACGAAATTGTGACTACTAAGCCCCACCACCACGACAAGGTGCAGCCTATGGTGGGGTAGCACTTCATTACAGACGCCATTTCCTCTTATATTTTTCCCCTTCAGATACAGATCCTTCATTTAGTTATTCTCTTCTTCATGCATCCTTCACGCTTTCATTTCGCCTTTTTCAAGTATCGATCATTATTCTTTCACATTGTTTCCTTATCGCACTTCCTTAGCTTCCACTTTTCCTTCTTTCACATCATACGTTCTTCAAATTTCTTTCCTTCGCCCTTCTTTTGCGAGTTCAAATTCTCTCTCTACTGATGGTATACCTATACGTCTTATTATTTGCCTTTCTCTAAAGAACAAAATTAGCAAGGGACGGATTTCTGTGCAAACGCATGTTTGTATTGCGCTACATCTACAATCACGATGGGTCACCCTGTATGTATTTTCTGCACGCGTTAAATGTTGTTATTTGAAATTCAAAAGAATGCGAATCATATAATTTGAATTTTAAGTCACCATTGATTCTAGTTAGAATTATTTATTTAATTATGTGTAATTTTTATATTTTGTTTATCTTACTGTAAAGAAATGACATGTTAACAGATTAATTATTATGTAAAAATGTCATCTCCGGTCTGTGTGATTAGGTTTCATTATCGCTGCGTCGATAAGCACGTGTTATCGCAGATGGTTTTCCGCTGTAGTGAGTACAGGTGTTTAATTTACTCGAAGACGCACAGAAAATTAAGGAAGGAAAGAAAATAGAAGAAGGGAAGAGTTCGTTTTGTTAGTTGTACAGTTTTTGTAGAAGAAAGCGAGTTGGGTGCTCTAAGAGATTTTTGTTACGCCCTTTAAAGTGAATGTTTCGAATTAAAAAAGTTCACAAGGTAGTTAGTCGGAGTGTTGCGTTTATCGAGCAGTTATGGCATAAGGAAGCCTTTCAGGCCGTCACGTATCAGTTAAAGGCATTTTTTCCACCATCAAAGAGTCAATATTATATAGTGCGTTTCAGATAATAGGGTCACCTCCAATATCTTTTTTATTTGGCGAGATACGAAAAATGTAATTTAATATGTGAAATTACGATCTATCTAATCGCATATTCAACTTCCGGTTTAATCGGAATCGGATCTATGCTTTTTTAAGATATTTGAAAAGAGCAATCAATTTTCTGTACATACATGAAATATGCATATGGTTGACGTACAAAAAAATGGAGAAATTCGTGATTCAATATTTAGAAAATTTATGAAATCTAGCGTGCCGTGTGCCATATCACACAGAAAAAACCTACAATAACTTGTTCATTGTTTCATCCTGACAGCACACGGCATGCTAGATTTCATAAATTTTTATTAAGGCAGGTGCGCGTGCGCAGTCCCATTACTAACTACAGGCGAATATCTATTAATCATTTTGCGAAGATTTTTGAGTTATTTTTACACTGTAAAATTTACCCAAAGATTACTTCTCTAATAAAATTGAGTTTGATTGGGTAAATTACAACTGACAATCTTTAAAGAAAACAATTGCATAATCATCAATCGAATTTATCACATTGTTTGTTTTGTTTAAGTATCCAAAGATAGTGAAATCGGACAACAAAGTTCTGCTTCCTTCCGAACTAGAAGATTTGGCATCGGTCGACCTTCTTCGAAGGATGTTACAAATTGATCCAAAGCAACGATTACATTCCGTGCGGACATTGAAAACAATTCGATACTATCAAGGTTACAATTGGGACGATGTAGTACAAAGGAAGGTGCGTATACATTTTATATGTACGATGTACCTATATTATGAAAGATGCTCACGCATAGTTATATTTCTGTTGACAGATTTGCCCAATAGTCTTCCTAAATCAAGCACACGAGACTGCGGACTAATACTATTGTTGAACTATTAAAAGTAATAAATTTTAACATAGTTTTTGTTGTGTTTTATTGACTTTTTGGTATAATTAATAGGTTCAGAAACGGAATTCAATGTTTATTTGTACAGGGTGGGATCTTCGCTAAAGGTGAGAGATACAGTGAAGATAAATGGAGGCCAAGTCTATTATCAGAATTTCCATAACACACTAGATGTAGAAGCTACAAGCTACTACCTACTTTCTTATTTCTTATCAACGCCATACTGGATTTTTATGGAATGAGTGGTAAAAATCAAAAGTTATAGACTAGAAACCAATTTCGAAAGAAAATTCAAAGGGCTGTAACTTTTGAACTAGTAGCCCAATCTTGGAACTGTTTGAAATTATGGATTCTACAGGGCACATTGTATAAGAAAATTTTTTTCCGGGTCGATCTGAGACAATTTTTTTTTCGGGTCTCAAAAAAAGGCAGTGTATAACCTTCCTTTTTTACCAAAAATCGACTGCACCAAAATTTCTCGGGAAAACACTTTTTCTTATTAATTTTGGTGCGTAGAATCCAAAACAATTCGTACTTTTTCGATCAGACTTCTCAATCAAAAGTTATAGACTAGAAACCAATTTCGAAAAAAATTCAAAGGGCTGTAACTTTTGAACTAGTAGCCCAATCTTGGAACTGTTTGAAATTATGGATTCTACAGGCCACATTCTATAAGAAAAATTTTTTCCGGGTCGATCTGAGACAATTTTTTTTGCGGGCCTCAAAAAAAGGCAGTGTATAACCTTCCTTTTTTACCAAAAATCGACTGCACCAAAATTTCTCGGGAAAACACTTTTTCTTATTAATTTTGGTGCGTAGAATCCAAAACAATTCGTACTTTTTCGATAGATTTCTCAATCAAAAGTTATAGACTAGAAACCAATTTCGAAAGAAAATTCAAAGGGCTGTAACTTTTGAACTAGTAGCCCAATCTTGGAACTGTTTGAAATTATGGATTCTACAGGCCACATTCTATAAGAAAAATTTTTTCCGGGTCGATCTGAGACAATTTTTTTTTCGGGCCTCAGAAAAAGGCAGTGTATAACCTTCCTTTTTTACCAAAAATCGACTGCACCAAAATTTCTCGGGAAAACACTTTTTCTTATCAACGCCATACTGGATTTTTATGGAATGAAAGAGGTAAAAAAAAAGATTTCTTTGAATGCATCGCCACCATAGCCATGTTGAGCTCGAGATGATTTGTTGAAAAATCAATACAATTGATTTTGAATTCTTTCTTGTAACACGTCATTTTTTGTCATCTATCAATCTCATTCGGTAAATCTCCAATATGGCGCCCATAAGAAACAAGAAAGTAGTAGCTTTTGTAGCTTCTACATCTAGCATGTTATGGAAATCTGATAACAGATTCAAATTCTCTGAAAAAGAGGGTGTAAACTGGAAATAAATTTGACATTTTCGTTTTTTGACAATATCTAGCTTATTCTCAGATTTTTCTGTTTCAAATGCGTTTTTAGCCTACACTGTATCTGGTGTAATTGGTGTAGCAATAATAAATTTCTTGGATTGTTTATAAATAGTAACTCAAAATTGGATAATCCAGCTCCATTAAAATGAAATTGCATAACTTTTTGTACCAAAGGAACTAAATCCTAGTGGTTTAATCAGAAGGTAAGTTAAAATTTCCTGGTTTGGAACAACTTTAATTATAAAAACGTATTTGCATATAAACATTACAAATATGGTTGCCAACCATGAAACAGTCGGCACAGATTGGAAGGATCACGTGCTTGTTGCAGTAATTTCTGAACTTGCCCTTCCACACTGGTATGGGTACCCCCTTCCACGATACCCTGCAATTTTTGGCGGAGCCTCAAAAGCGCCCGTTCCGCTGTTGCATTGACATTTTCTGCAAAAAAACGATCATGTTTTTACTGCAAGTCCAGAAAGTACAAATACCTTCATTTGTGAATTGTAAAGAACTACTAGTGCAACTAACACCATAGTCATTTTCTTCTTGGTCGTCATTTAATTGACGATTGTAGGCCTCCGCTGGGGTCACAGTCCATGTATATAGTGGATCGTATAGTAGAACTTCCAATATACTAATGATCGTTTTAGAATTGTTTCTCAGCACCTCCAAAGTTCTTTCGCATGATCTAAGTGGACCAAGATTAGCGCACTAATTGATAACTATGCAAAGGTCTTACTTGCGAAAGACACCTTCAACACCGCATACACCCATACCTGCTTCAATGTCACGTGTCAGTCGAAAAGGAACCGTTTCTGGCGTCGGTAAAACTAGCCCTTGTTCAAATGCAATTCCTGAACGAAAAACAACAAGTAACTCTAAAGTCTAAAGTGTTTTTTACCGAAATCAATGTGCACTACCTCCGCCGTTGTTTTATCAATAAGAATGTTACTGACATGTCGATCTCCCAATCCCAAAATATATCCGCACATACTCGTCGTAGCAACGCTATACGTATAGGCACGCCTCCGTTCGTACCACACGGCGGGTTGCACAAATGAACTTTCAAAAAATTTATGAAAAACCGGATGAAATTTTTCGCAAATCCTATTGTAGACTTTCAACTTTTCACTAGGCGTGCACTTGGCGGCGTTCTATCAAACAGAGATGAAAGGTAGGGGTACGTATGCCGCGCAATACCCACCTTATACTCAATCCTACAGCGAGCCGGAGAGTATTCGTCATTATTGTAAATTACGTGCGCTCCGGATTTCGTTTTCCCATCACCTACGAGATATTCTCCGATTGGCATACTGTTGTCGACCCATTCTAAAATGCCGCTTCTCTGCGATAAGGGAACAATCTGCAAATCATATTTACTGACGCGTATGTTTGAAGCTGCCCCACGTACCTTATAAGTTCTTATGAGTAACCCCCTTGTTTGTTTATTGCACGCCAATAAACCATTCATGTTATTAAAAACTTGTTGCATTACCGCATCTTGGCGTAAATCATCTTTTCCTTTCACCAATTGATTTCGTTTCAGTCCGTCGGTACCGATGCAAGATATCTTCTTGGGTGCATTTAATCCTCCCACGTTTGAAAATGTCGTACCAAACGAAGAAATACCAACAATAGTGGAATAGTCACAATTTTTCCGTACGTCCAATATATGCGTCGGTAATAGTATGTCTTCTAAATGTTTCAGTTTCATTAGAGGACAAGTGGTCGGTATTATGAAGTCGTCGTGTCTATCGACTTTGCATTTATCCTGATCAAGGTACGCTAAGTGAATCAGTGCTCTCGAAAGCTCCTCCATTTTTTCAATGGTGCGCCTAAGATAGTCAATTTTTTTTAGAGATCTTAGCAACTTGTCCGCCGCGATTATTCTCTGTTCGTTGCAGTTGGTATTTGTTTTTGATTGGCAGAATTCTTTGTCTTTGTGGGAGTTTGACAAGGACAGAACAAAAGGTAGAGTATGATGGGGATGGTCCTTTGCACATTGTACTACAAATTAATCATGTTAATTAAACTTGCATTTAAAGTTTGGAATATGAGAAATAAATTAAATTTAGACTTTCATATCCAATTACCCACCTACAATTGCATTAATATTGTTTGCCAATAAATCTCCGGAGCTGTTCGTGATGTGTGGTATTAGCTGCGGCAATATAGGTATGAACTTGTAGCTGGCCATCTTCTTTACACTCGCGTTAAATAGACTCTCCAGTTGCTTGTTGCCGCGATTTTCAAGAAGGAGCGATAATATTCGAAACATACACACATTATTTGCATCACTTTTTTCGAGATTTAGTAAGTAGTATCTGCAAAATTTTCAGGATTAAATAAATTCCGGTGACAGTTAGTTAAACTTCAATTTGTTTACAAATATTAATAAAGATTATTTTATTAACCCACGCCAAGATATAAACAAAATAGACACATCCTCACTCTGTACCTATTCTTTGTTATTTTTGCAAAAAAAAAAGAAAAGCCACAGGCCAGTATAGATCAAATTTCCTTCAACTATTTAGCAAAAAAATTTGTTTAAGACCCAATCCAGAATTGGACAAGCATCAAAACTGGGAACACGGGGAAAATAATGATGGTGGGCATTTCACAATTCATTAGATTTTTGGGATTTTCAAAATAACACTCCATAATTCATCACCATCCTGTTGAAACCCAACTTTTGTTTTTTTTTTGGTGTCGGACATCGTTGTATTCGTAATAAAAAATGCTACTCAGTACAGTATGAACTTTTTTAAGGGCCATATAAAAAAAACAAAGTTGATGTTTTCTCAGAAACGAAATGTTGTATTGAAAATCTCTCAACGGTGTCTTGTAGAGCTCAAAAAATGGCAATGGGAAAGTGATTTTTAAATTTTTTTGTATATGGTCAAATAATGAGAAAAGAATGAAAACACAGTCGGCAAATTACGGTCTTTCTGGCGTGTGTTTGGAAGTAATCGGAATTTTCTAGTTTTCTTGCGTGATATCCTGTTAATTGCGCATCTTTACTCTAATTTGACCATCTTGGTATTAAGAGTATGGTTTCCGAGATCCCCATGATACACATCCCTACCTTGGACACAGCGAGCTCTACCCTGCCTACTTATAATTTGCATACATACCTACTCTAAAAATGGAGCTACAATTATTATTATTAATAATAATAAATAAATAAATAATTATAAAAATATTTTAAATAAATTTTCTGCAGAGAATGACAAAAAAACTAGGAACCAATTAAATGTAAATAAAGTGTTATTAAAACAACGTAAATTGAAGGAAATATCAATTAAAGCCCATCAATATTAGCAAAAGCTTGCAACACAGCTTCTCTAAGGTCATCTACTGCAGAGCCGTGCTTAGGGTGGAGCGGCCGCTCCAGGCCTCGTGCCGAAAAAGGCCTTACTTTCGCTTAAAAATAAATATGTTTTGATTCAATGAAAATAATATAATATTTTAATATATAAATATACCGGGTGCCCATTATGTATGGAATATAGTATATATTTCGGTAAAGATCGAATGTATACAACAATTTTTTATATGAAAGTTGTTTAACATTTTATTTCCCATAATAAAGCAGCATTCCATTGCTTTTATTCCAGAAAACAAATGAATAACGAAAATAATTGAATTTTTTTAAATAGCAACGCACATTTTCATTAGGCTCATTTGATAGAGATTTTTTTCTCTTTTCAATGACATAACACGTTAGCACCCGTGTAGAAGAAATTAATTTTTATTTCAAGTTTTTAGCGCATGTTTGAAAAAATACCCTATTATATTCGTTATGGCTGGCTGGCTGGCTGTCCGGCTGATATCTTAGCAACTACAATAGCTAGAGGCTCAAATTTTCACTAAAAGCTTTCTGCTATAGTGTAGATGTGCAGGCTCTAGTCTATTTTGAGTTAGATTACTTGTGAGATCGATAATTTAAGAAAATAATTTCGATATGGTTTTTGGAGGTGCTATAATTTTACCGTTAGATACCGCTACCAGTATAAAAACTTAATTATTTACTTTGCGATTTGTTTTACAAAATTAAGACGTACCCTTAATTGAAATTAAATAAAATGAATTATTTAACGCAGCCAAAATTACTCGTGAGCGATAATTTTAAACTTCGCTAATAAAATACTGATCTGCATTACCAAAAATGCGCTTTAATCATGCATATGCTGATTTACAACTTGTTTGGGATAGGTTATGCCACTGCCTTGCAGTGAATGGTGAACATTTTGAACATTCATTGCGATGAAAACCATTTTACTGCTAATTTCGTTTTGTCTTCAAGGTTTAATAAGAAACGTACACGTTCATTTGTTTTATTTTTATGTAGGATATTTGGATTAATGTTATTCATCTAATTATGATCCATTTTTTAAAAAAATTTTCTTGAATAAAGGTACTAACATGTTATATCATCGAAAAGGGAAAAAAATCTATCCTAATGAAAAGGTGCATTGCCATTTAAAAAATTCAATTGTTTTTCGTTACTTACTCATTTGTTTTCTGAAATAAAAACAACTGAATGCTGGCATTTATAGGAATAATTTCATATATATTCGATATTTCCCGAGATATATACTACATTCCATACATAATGGGCACCCTGTATAATATAGAATATAAAATGATTACCCGCGCAATATGTTCAACTATTGATTAATTAAAAAACCTACGAACGAAATTCTCATTCGTACGTGATAGTCATTAGTCTCGAACAAACCGTCGCGCTCGCCGGTGAGTGAGTCATTCTGGCATGATCTTCTCCTCTCCCTTCGCCGCGTGACAGTCATTCAAAGTGCTTAAAATGACGACTTTGCATGTATAATTTTGCAATAATTTCCGGAGTAGGACTCACTTCCCCCGGGGGTATTCCATAACCCCTCCCCCCTCGGAAATAATTGTTAAAAAAGGCCCCGCAAAAATATTTCGCTCCAGGCCTCGCATTTGCTAAGGACGGCTCTGATCTACTGTGTCATACGATTTTTGGTACACCTTTGTTTATTCCCTATAAATAAAAATCTAAAACATAAAGATTGGGACATCGAGGTGGCCAAGCAACAGGGGCGTTTCTTCCTATCCGTGAATTAGGAAATATTTCACTTCAATTATTCCGTATTATTATTTGATTATGAGGTAGTGCCCCATCATGTTGAAAGTATTTGAGCATACCAAGTGTCTGAAAGAAGTCGATCACCAATGCTAAAATCAAAATTTAACCTATTCAACGTGATGCGGATTTTCTTACATCAATAAACGTTCATTATGTCTATTATGCTGCAGTTTGTAAATCGTGTTTCATGCGTCCATAAATAAAAAACATGTTAATAAACCAAGAACAATATACAACGCGCTTATTGTTGTAATGTACACAGGCCAGTCCCAAGAGACTACGCAACTCAACATTTAAAATCAACACTTTCCCTCTCAAACTACCTAAATCCCATGGCCCATGATCGTCTAGACAAAGCTATCTAACCGGAACAACAAAATACCGGCCCGTGTAGCACAGTTCAGTGGAAGCTCGACTGCGGTACAGGGTCCCTGGTTCGAATCCGGGTTCGGGCATGGATATTTGTAAATGTATAGTGGGTTGGGTTGGTAGAGCAGCCTCGGCTGAAACCCCGCCCACTTAAAAATAAAGGCAAAATAAAATAATAAAGTACACAAGTAAAACGGATACAAAAAGAACAAACATTAAACATTATAATAAATTCGCATGGTTTGGATATTGGGTGGACAGTCCAAAATGTCGTACACATCACACAGAGATGTGTTTAGTTACTCCTGGTTCAGAAAGAACCAAACAAACTTTAATTAATATGTTATAACATGTCAACCTAGTATGAAAACAAAACGCTAGGAGTTGGCATCTCTTGAGAGCATTTCACACACCAGAAAGGATAAGTGGACACATAAAATACAAGGTACAATGAGAATACGCCGTATGCTTTTAACAGATTCCTAGATAATGTGACGCTGGAACTGGCTTGCGCCCTCATGCTCCAAGTGGGCAAGACCCAACTCTTTCATTCACCCATCTGTAGAGCCAGTCCAACCCACTAGTTATTAAAAACCGAACTCGGCTTTAAACATTAACATGACAACCCAATAAAAAGACAAATCATGATATAACATAAAAATTATAACAATAATAATAGAGCAACCATCAACATACTTGTACATAACATAAACAAAATACATAGCATCAGTAGGCGGGGCAGACATTTGAATCTCACTCCAATCCAGTGACACGCAGAAGAGCAGTCGTATACACAGCTCTGGAAACTCGAGCCTGTTTTTTTATGTCAGCAGTCAGTACTAAAAATCGACACGGACGGCGCATGAGTCTAGGAATGTTCCCTGGCAACTGTCTTGCCTGACATTTAAAAACAGACGCAAAAAAAACCGCCGCAGTCAATAAAAAATGACTTTTTTAAAATATCTAGTTAGCTATGAATTTTTTTTAATACGAAAATTGTAAGTTACATGTCTGCTTCAAAAGAAATTGAACGGATTGCCTATTGGTAGAAATGGGGTTTCAATGATTCGAGAATTGCGCCCATCAATTTTTCACCCCTAATACAGGCAACCTCACTTATTGTTTGCAAGCAGAGCTGGGCAGTATTCGATTTTGTAAATACTTTTTAGTAGGTATTCAAAAACTTTAAAGTATTCAAATACTTTGTACTTAAATTCTTTTATGGAAGCAGTATTTGTATTTGTAACTCAAATACTTTCACAAATATTTAGTATTCGAATACTTCGCATAGTATTTGAATACCAAAAATCGACTACTCCAAAATTTCTCGGGAAAACACTTTTTCTTATTAATTTTGGTGCGTAGAATCCAAAACTATTCGTATGTTTTCGATTAGACCTCTCAAAAAAAAGTTATGGACAAAAAACAAATTTCGAAAAAAAATTCAAAGGGCTGTAACTTTTGATCTAGTAGCCCAATCTTCAAACTGTTTGAAATTATGGATTCTACGGGGCAAATTCTATAGGAAAATGTTTTTTCCCGGTCGATCTCAGACAATTTTTTTTTCGGCCTCAAAAAAAGGCAGTACTTTTAAGTTATTCAAATATTTGAGAACAATTTAGAAATGTTTAGGGAAAGTTTCCATTGTCGCAAAATCAAATATAAAAATCCGATACATCTGAATACCGAACTCGATAGTCAACGTAACTTAAACAATAGGGACCTTTCTTATATCCTTAAGACCATATGCACCAATGGGGGTTTACAGTATAGTTGAATTCCGCAGTTCTAATTTAATAAGCGTGTACCTGAAACCATAAAACATTTTTTTGGACAGTAAAAGTTATTTTTTGTACTAATGAAACAAATAACTATTTTCTCCAACCACCAAAATAAGACGCTATTTTGTGACAGTGTTCGGCACGTAAAATTGGCGTTTTCCGGATTTTTCGCTATCACCATGGTAACTGTACAAAAAGTGGATACTTTTGGTCCTAGTACCAAAAAGAAATTGACCGTGAAAGTTGGCCAATTAAAAAATTACAATCACGGAGATATGTCACATTGACATTTACATTGCCGGTTGTAAGATATATCTATACACACAAATCAAATATTTTTGCATATTCAGTGCAAATAATGCTGTTACCTATATGTATGTACATGTATTGAAAATGATTTACGCTCGCTATTTTTATTTAAACCATGTGTAACGTAATTTAGATATTCGATGAACGTAATTTTAATACGTATACAACCCGCCGTCGCGCGTAACGCCATCTACTGCAGACCCATTGCACTATTATCTGTCATTTTGAATTCAAAATTTGAAAAAGTTAATTACAATTAATTATAATTAAAAAACGGTTGGTAAGTTTTTTATTACAATACAAAATATAACAATATTAATTTTGTATACAATGAAATGACTGAAACTGATAGCGACATGGATTGCACTCAGCCAGAGATTATAGAAACGGCAGAATATGCTACCTTAGATTTGCTCCTAACAAAGTCGCGAGAGGTGAAAAGTAAGAAGCAAGAACGAAAAGGTTATAAGTTAACCTAAAAACTAGAGTGGCATGACACGTGAGGACAAGAAAGCAGAGGTTCTCAAACTAGTAGTGAAACTGTGAACTGAATCTAAATTCGAATACCTATAATTTCAAGTAAAGGGGGTTGGAGAAAAAATTTTATGTTTTATTCGTACAAAAAATGCGTTTTCGAGACTCGGAAGGTTGCTGGACTCCGCTGACGCGTCGTCCAGCAACTATCTTCCTCGTCCCGAAAACTGACCTTTAAAAATAGAGGCTGATTAGCAAAAAAATAATGAACATGTGCGGTTTTAAAGGTTTATTCAAAACGATATGATTGTGGCGGGCTCTGTGACGTAATAAGCCCGACCAATCAGCTCCTAGAACCATTCAGATGACATAACGACTTGGCAATATTGTAGGAGAATGGCATTTATAACTTGCGTCATCTGTTAACAGGCTCTTGTCACTTTCGTGCTAGATGCAGTTAAACATCCCTCTCAAAACGTCAAATTAATGTGACAAACGTCAGACCCTCGCGTAAGGTTGCCAGCTCACTTCTACGTGATTGGTGTAGGTTTGTGACGTATTTAGTCTGAAGCGTTTTAAATTCGGACTAAAAACACAGCTTTTCAATAATTTATTTTGGATTTATTTTACTTGCAAATAAAAATTGAGGACACACGGGTCTTTTTATTTTTAATGTACTTTGTGGATCAGAAATGAAAAATGAAGGCGGGATGACCCCATTTTCAAAGCGATCGCACGTTTCTAAACCGCACACAGACAAACGGATGGTCAAAAATGTTCCAAAATCGCTAGGATTAATTTCAGAAAGGCGTACGTATCTTGTGCACGACGTACGATCGCTTTTAAAACTGGTACACGTATTCTTAAGGATATAACTAGTATAAGAAAGGTCCTGGTAGGTATCTCCTATATAATATAATAATAATAATACGCTTTTACTCCCCTTAAATTTGTATATAACAATAGAAATATAAAAAAAGCTAACCCCCTACAAAGTATAACTTGATTTTTTATCTAGTATACTATTTTAAATTTTTAATGTATTTGAGTGACAAGTATTTGAATACTTTTGAAAGTATTCGAATACATTCTAAAGTATTCAAATACTTTTCAATATATCTGTATCTAGTATACGCTTGTGCTGGACGTAAAAGTATTTAGTATTCAAATACCTTTGATTTGTGTTAAGTATTTACTATTTAGTATTCAAATACTTTTTGAAAGTATTCTGCCCAGCTCTGTTTGCAAGCAACAAAATGCAATCCATGTTTTTTTTTTTAAATTAAAGTATCATACTCATTAAAGATGTCCCCTCCCGGCATATTAGTGGTTCACTTTCAAACTAAGAACGAATGAACAACAATTGAGTCTTTCATTCTTTTGATCTTGATTAAATGGTCACACAAAAATTTTGTGATAAGAATATACAACTTTGTTTACTTGAAGGATTAACCAATCAGGTAAAATCCACACTTACTTCATCGTCAATAGGAGGTACATATTTTTTTCCTCGTGTGTATTGTTAATTTCCGTTTGATCGATGACGCTTTGTTTATCGCGAATAATTATGGCACGTTGTTCGTCAGTGGTGATTTTACGACTGCGCTGACTTTTTAAACTTAACGCCGCAGATTTGGACTTTTCCATATTTCTAACTTTTTTCTCAAATACAGACGATTTGACGTAGCTTTGAACCTAAAAGAAACCAAGTAAGCTAATCGTGCTACAACAGATTTTACCTGTTGATATTGCAAATCTGCAAATGAAGCGAGTACTTGATACGTTTCGTACACATGTTTACTCTCCGCATCAGTCTTGGACAACTGGTCCAGCACGTCTATTGATTTGATAAAATAGTTTTGAATAATACTGCGTGGATTTTCCGAGCACGTTTCGATCATCCACGTGCCGTACAATCGCAACACCTCCGCATATAACCTACAACAAATCCATTAGGCCGCTTACAAATGTCAAAGACGTTACCTGCACTGGGGTAATTTACTTAACAATCGCCGTAATATGTGACAGGCAATCTTCTTATCGTCCAACCATCGCAGTTGGGCTTCTTCAAATTTCACAGAAGCTTGAAGCTCGGCGGTCAAACCAGTAGTATTAAGTAAGTTAGTAACAACTCTGGTGGCGGTGTTGTAATTACCGATACTTCTAGCAATACCTGTGATTTAATGTAATAATCTGTAGTGAAATAAATCAATACAACGAAATATCGAAGGATCCTCAGTATTACAATCACTTTTAACGACAATTTATTTTAATCTTACAAAATACATTTTATAGTTAACAAAAATGCATCAAATTCATGTCTGGGCTCTTGGTTTTTTTCCCAACGATCTTGGTGCATAAATAACGATTTAGACATGTTTTGATCAAAATCCATGTGGTCGCCAAAAATAGATCAAATTCATGTTTTGGTCTTTGAAATAATGCTCTTGGTCTTTTTCTCAACCATCTTGGTGCATAAATAACGATTTAGACATATTTTGATCAAAATCCATGTGGCCTCAGAAAAATAATTTAACATTTTTGAATCACACACATGCGGTTATCAAACGTGCACGTTATCAACTCTTTCAGCATCAAGACAATGCTTTTACAACTCTAAATTCATGTGTAAAGAATAATTTTGGGTAAATTTTGCTCTAAAACTTTTGACCTAGACCACAGAGAAGAGTTATATTGAATTGTTACACTTCTAAGACTCATAGGGAATAATCTAGCGAAAGTCCGAACTCGATACATGACCTAAGGAATGAAATATGTTGATTTCTATTATATTGAGTACGCAGTTTTTCCTATTCCCGATTCACTCGAAGTCCTATAACTTTTGTTCCTGTTGAACCAGCTTCCTGAAAAAAATAGCGTCCGTCCTTAATGTCCAAAGTACCCGTACACCAAATTTCAACACGATCGGTCACTTTTAAAAAGAGTTAGAGCGCACACGGACGGACGACAATACAAAACTATAAAGGATCTGAGGATCCTTAATAAATAAACAAACCTGCGAATTTCAACTGCATGTCCACCAAAATATCAGTCATATCTTGACAATCGGAAGAAATCAAATTAAATATTGCCTCACGTTGAAAATGAAGGGGTTCAATGTATTTAAAATCATTCGGATTAATTTCATCTTGAATTCTCCACTTCTCCACCAGGGTTTTGATTGTACCTTCAGATTTAGCAGTCACGAATTGTTCCAGCTCTCGGAGGGATTGTAACCGATTTAGATGATGATACAAATTTTCACTGCTCTCCAAACTGGCATGCTTTAAGTTGTCAATTACGCATTGTCTCGCTTGGACTGCGAATTGTTGAAAGTTACATTTGTCATTATCGTGAACGGCTTTCAACAGGAAGTATCTATATTTCTCGAAGGAATTTTCGGTCTGACTATGAACTGTGTTATCGATATCCCATTGATTTAATCGCCACGCGCAGTCAAACTGTGGACTGCTTTTGTTTTCCAGTCGAAATGGTATTTCGAACAGGCTACATTTTTTTAAGGCTTCTTGTAGCTTGGGCACGTACGATAATTGCCCTTGCGTGATTTTCATATCATAGTGAAGGACCACTTGGTCCCATTTTTGTAAGTGTTCGTAATGTTCCATTTCGAATTCGCCATCCGTTAAACCCATTAATTCGCAGGTTGACAATGCATCGGGTTCGCCTACTTTTTGGTAACACTAAAAATTAAACAAAATCGATAGTCGAACTCTAATGTGATTATTCAGTGTGTTCGAGATAATAGGGTCACCTCAATATCTCTTTTTTTTGCCGACATCACAAGCTATCCTATGGCATATTGACATCTCCGGCATCACTTCCGGTTAAACCGCCAATCGATGCAACTTTTGTTTTTGAAACGTCTTTTTTTTAAATCATTGAAAATATGGTTGATAAAAAAATAAAGAAATTCGCGATTCAATATTTAGAAAACATGAAATCTGGCATGCCGTGTGCTGTCAGGATGCGCGGTGTCTGGTATGTTACACAGACAGATACACAGATAGATCGTATCGCGCAAACGTAAATCTTTAAAATGATACATTGAACAAGTTAATGTAGGCAGCTTGCAAGAGAACCAGTGACAAGTCATGGTGCACACTCTATAAGTGTGTGAGTCTGCGGGGAGTGTCCAGATTCCAGCTCCAAAAACGCCTGAATCAACACCGAAAGCGGGGCTCAGATCAGTGATCAACTGGTCCCAAAACCGACCAGAAAGATATCTTCACTTTCACCACAAGGGTAGAAGCTAAAGGGGTGAAGGACCCCAACGAAGCATTAAAGAGGTTAAGACAACATGTAAGAGCAAAAGAGGTGGATGTCAATCAGAAAGTTGTTTGACAGTCAGATTGGAGAACAAGTAGTTCTAGCAAGCATTTTGAATAAACACTAAAACAACGGGGTACTTGAGGAAGGGACCCAGAGGCAAGATTAGATAGCAGACAAAAGACGGTGTAGTAACCCCCCGCGCCAGAACTGGGTAGTAGAGGTGAATTCCAGGGACTTTAAAGATATTCAAAAAAGAATAAAGGGTAGGGAGTGTTTCAGATATAACAATTTCGGGCACTTAACAGCCAGTTGCCCGGAGAAAGAGGACGCATGTCCACAGTGTGCAGAGGAATTGCAAACGGCTGGGGTCTAAAGACAGCGCTCATGTCGCCACGGACGGTACCAGAGAAGGATACAATTAGCGATAGATAAGATCGCCTCCTAACGACCATTCATCAAGGCACGAAAGCCAGGTCATAATAGCTGGTGACTTAAACGCAAAACACCCCGCCTGGAGAAGTGATGTAACCAACCAGAGAGGCGACAAGCTATACGACCTCTTTAACGCTGTCGGACCTGTTGTCTAGAACAGCCCACACTCCAGCCCCACCTTCAAAACCGTAAACGGCAGATCTTGGATCGACATAAGCGCTAATCGTGATGTTGCAGGAACAAAGGCAGACAGCACAAGGAGAGTATGGTGTGTTTTAATACTTCAATTCAATCATATATCAGTTTGGCATCATTGCGGGCAATAAAAATTGCGGCAATATTTATTGCACGCATGCGCGCAAGTGTATTTTTTCGATCAGCTTTTTATTGCATTGCAATTGCAATTCTGGTGACTATTTTAAGGGAATTTTTAATGCCAACATCTAGAATTACTATGGCACCAACGATGTCAAGGGTGATGAATGTGTTGACAATTTCTGTTGTTCATCTTGATTGAAATGCACAATAAATAGATGCCAAGAACAAGTTAAATGCAAATGACAAATCGAAGATATTTTGTACACACCTATTGAAAGTTATAGGGTTGGTACTATGCAATGAAAATTGTAGACTGTAAACACTTGCCATTTGTTGCAGTAAAACTTGCAAACTCGGCCTTTAGTAAGAGAAGCATTTGGCCCATAAAACCTGATACTCCATCTTCAGGTGCGAACCCAGTATAGCAGAATAGAGCACCACTTGGAACAATGGAGCCACCTGTCACTAAACCAGCATGGATCCAAGGAGGGCAGGTCGAGCAGAGCGGTTGACTGGGCCGCTTCTGCTCTTGTCAGAACGCAGGGCAGGTGGAAGAGGCTGCTGCATAAGTAAGCGATATGAGCACAGCTGTAAACTGTGGACCTTTTGAGGAACGAAGAGAACACCTTGGTGGAACTCACACCGTGAAAAGGTTCGTAAGAAAATTGACAAGCACTTTAATACAGTCATGTGATCTCAAGATCGTTCAACACAGACCATATTCGAAGGCCTAAACGAAGATCATGGAGGACCTTCTGTGATAACATGGAGGGTCTTTTTGAAGTTCAAAAAATTCGTAAAATCCTTTTGAAAGACCCGGGGCAAAAAGTGGGGACACTGAGATTTCCATGCGCCAGATATACCGCGGATGAGGCTCCTGGAAGACTCCTGGAGACTACATAACTTCGGAGCAACCAAAAGGAACTACCCGGATCAGTGCAACGCCGATTAAGTGGAATGTAGCTGCCCTGGTGGTTTCCGAGAGATCTCTGAGATGGACAGTTACCATGTTCAGCCCATTTAAGAGTGCAGGACCGGACTGGATATTCCTGCTCTTCTACAGAAAGGCCTGAGACCGCTGCTCTTACATTTGGTGCACCGCTTTAAACCTCCTTGGCTTTAGGGTATATTCACGAAAGCTGGAGAAAGGTAAGAGTTGTGTACCTACCTAAGGCTATCAGGGAGTCGCTGGATCACGAACTTATAAATTAAGATGGACTGCTAATACTGAATTAACAAATGACAGCTACATGGGGGCCGCCATGATGTGCACTCACTTGGCGCGAAATTCAAATCAACTAATAAACAAGCATTAACCCAACATTAACCTCACTTTTTCTAAATAAATTACTGTGACACATGTCATTTTCCAAGGCTGCAATAGTCTCAAAACTTGAGCACTAGGAAAATTCCCTAGAAAATAACTAAAATGTACACATCATGGCGGCGCCATAGCATCCTTGGGCGGCGCCCATGCTAGGGCAATTTTAAAGTCACTAAATATAGAAAGTACCGCAATCCATTGGGCTCGTGTGTTAGAGCGAGAACGCATGATTTTTGCCCAAAAATAGCGGAAGTTACCAGGTTCTAGTAACTTTAATGTTAGGGATTGTTCCACCTGTTTGGAGATATCTGTATTTTTATAAAACATGACAGTACTATGAAGTTAGGTTATAAAAAATGACAGCTATTCAGATTTTATTTGTCAATTTTTTTAAGTTGGCAGCAAATTTGCCCAAAAATGGCGGATGATTGCGGTACTTTCTATATCTAGTGACTTTAGGGCAATTTCTACCTCTATGCAACTGTTTGAGCAGCAGTCCATTTTAATTTATAAGTTCGTGCAGTGGATCCATGAAAACCACGCCAAATCTGGCCATGAAGGCGCTTCTGGAACTAGAGCCCTTACACTTAGCTGTGGAAGCTGAGGCCCGGAAGGTTTCCATATGACTAAATGATTGGGACAAGTGGAAGGATCAAGATAAGATAGCCTTGGGCATGGGCGGATCTGAGAGGAAACCCTCAAGTTGCAAGAAGGGATGTGATCCAGACTGTCTTACTAGGACCAAAGAGTTATAAGAGTGGCTGAACTCAGATCGTCCCTTCCTCAAACCTGAGGAGCGCTGAAAATACATGCGCTTCGAACTATCTAACGTTTACCAGCCCTGCCCATTTAAAATTTTTGGGGTACAATTCACCACCTTCTCAAAGTTGAAGTTATGTGAATAGTATTATTTAATTAGATGTCCCTCTCAAAACTAAAATTGAGCCTTTCTGGCAGTTAAGCGCCCAAAATTGGCATTGACAGCTTTCAGTGGACTCTATATAAAATTACATTTGACAAATTTCACCAAATAAAATTGGGGTGACCCTCTTATCTCGAACACAGTGTATTTTTACCTCCCGTAAAATATATTGCAATCTTTTTCTCGTATCAGGTTCTTCATTCTGTGCTATTATGTCCAAGTAACTCAACCCTGAGACGGTAATCGTCGAATTATTTAAAATAGCTCTGTCTTGCTCAAGTTTTTCTTGGCACCATAACTCCGTGTACAATAGAGCTGTGAAATGCGCGGTACAAAATTGAGCCGCTTGCGCGACGTGCAGGTAATTAAGCTTGAAGTTATCTTTTCTAGAAAAACAAAGTTCGAGTAAATGCACGTCAACGACTTTGAATGTATACCTGCTACTGGAATCTTCCAAGTTTTTACGTAAACGGAGAAAATGCACTGTGTTAAGCATACATTGTAAGGACAATTTATTAAGAACAATATTGCCGCTATTCGAATCCGTTTCACTATGCATCCAGTGAGAAGAAAAAAAGTTGCAAATTTGCCTGGAAATCACATCCGATAACCCACACTTTATTATCAAGTACACCAGAAGTGGCAGCAGTTGTTCAGAAAATGACACCTGCAAGCAAGTTTTACAGCAAAAATCACGCTTGCTAGCCCTTACCATCATTTTGCACATCGGAATCAATTTCTTTAAATAACATTTCTCCGAAAAAAGTTCTAGCAAACTACACACCAAATCAGTAATCCACTGATCGTGTGAGGTACGATCAGGTGGGCACCACAAATTGGTATTTGACACGCAATAGTTAAAATTACTATTTAAACTATGATCGCTAGCCGATTTAATTGAACGAGACGAAGCAAAAGGTGTTAACGATATTCCGTTTAAATACTCTTTAAAACCTGGATCGGCTAAAATTAACAACATTAAAACTCAAACATTGCTAATGGTAAAACTCACCCAAAACAGACTTTCCTTCCTTACAATCTAATACGTGAAATAACGTGGAATTAGCAACTTCCATAATGTCAAACCTTTTATCGACGATGTGCTTAATAAAAAATTGTACGATTAGTTTCGTCACCAATTCGAAACCTGTACAGCTCTCGTTTGCGTAAGACTGTTCGGTTTGCAACACCATGGTTAACAAACTCGACGAGCCGAGTTCGCCCAGACACTCTGTTGCTTCTAAACTTTCCTGTAAAATTGAAAAGAAATTAATAAACAAAAAAGAGATGGAAAGTGTCGTTTGTTTATGTGATCACTTTCGAACTTTCCGAACGAAAGGACAGCATCGAGTATGGTTGCTATGAAGAAGTTTTGAGTGTGGCATAGGATGGAAGATGGAAGTTTTGAGTGAAAAAATGTTTTTCGCCGCATTTTTCATGAATTGATCAGTACTTCCCAAAAGGTCGGGTAGGGGACTATTTATATGTACAGAGAAAAATAAGTTATGGCATAAATATTTTAGTAAATAACAAACTTACCATTGTGCAGTCTGCGCATGCGCACACCTGATGTTAAAATATGTGATATGTTTGCTTTTACTAGAAGAATCTTTGATTAAAATTTCAAAAAATATCTCTACAAGTAAAAAGGTTAGCATTGCACAGCTTGCGTATGCTCACACCTGGTATTGACATTATGCGCTATGTTTGTTTTTACTAGAAGCATTTTTGGTTAAAATAGATATATCGCCATAAATAAGAAAGCTGGCATTGCAGTCTGCGCATGCGCACGTTAATCGTAAAGATTTTTCTTGGTTCATATGCCAGAGCTATAAGCTACTGAATGCAAAAAGAACGAACAAAATATGAAAACTGCAGTAGTCAAGGCCTTGGGCGGAAGTACGGACTGGCGGAGAAAGTGGCAATAGCGCATTCCAACATAATTTGGAAAATACGCTAAAAACACGTCTAAAACAAACGAAAATAAAAGAATAAATAATAAATGTACAGGGTGTCCCAGATTCGAGAATGAAAAGGAGGCAAAGTTGTGCTTCTTAGGACTAAATATAACGCTGTTTAAAAATTAAGGATTTTTTGGTACCATCCTGAACCGTAATTGTTTTAATGCGAGAACAATTTACGATAAACACACATTTTGGGAAAGTCAGCATTGAGGAACAAGACGAATTCGTCTATTTGGTAGCTCGGTTAACGAGTAAGTAAGAAAATAAAAAAAAAGTAGACATGTAACGCGCGACTGCTTTGCAGTTTTAAATATTATTTTTTCGAATTTGTACTTCGTTCAACGAAATTTACACATGTACCGCTTCATAGTGAACGTGAACGAAAGTATGTCTAGTGATAAAAGAGCGATAATAAAACGCAAGATGTGTTGAGTAGATAAACGCGAGCTTGACCGTGTTACCAGTTTGAATACCCGCTGCTCACTAGCTTTACGAGTGTGCTGTTTTAGATTTTCCACCGGGCAAAATACAAATAGCCAACGAAATAAAAAGAACTGCGAACGCGAGTACGTACAATCTGGTTCGTGACAATTTTATGATTTGTATAAAGTATGGGTTGATTATTTTTGGGAATTTGTATAAGAATTCTATTTAATGTAATCATAATATGCATCCGTAAAGCCTATGAAGACTCACCAACTTTTTTTCTATTACCCTTGTACTGTCACGGTAGCCTTAGGAAGAAAGCAACCGAATTTTTTTACACTGGGGGAGTTACAGAAGGAAGATTTGATGAAAAACTATAACTTATAAGGGTCGTTAAGGGTGAACAATTTTGTGAGAGACAGTAGCACCAAGGGGTCTGGGGCTCAGGAATCACCTACTATAGTACTGTCAGGTGACCTTACTTCAATGTGAAGACTTTCAAGATCGCTCGCTCCCTGGCTGTAGCCTTCATGGAACTCGATAGGTCAAATTGAAAGTATTCATAGATTATTTTGAGGATTTTAGGAAAGGAACCTATTTATGAAAATCAATTGCATGATCAGACTTGTACTGCAATTATTGATAATAATCGCATCTAAACAAAGAGTATTGGCTTTTTTCATTAGTTGGGAATTTGCATTTAGTTTCAGTGATACCTTTCCTTTGGTTGGATTCAAATTTTGTTTAGCATTAAGGGGCGTGTAAATATTTTGAATAGAAGAATGTACTGGAAAATTATTTGTATAAAAAATGAAGGTTTGATTACGAGATAGGAGTTGCATTTTAAGTTTTAAAAAAATGTGCTATTGTCTGCGGTTTGTCCGTCCGTCCGGAACCAATTTTTGTACGAGTGCAAATGTACTATCTAACCAAAAAATGTTGGCATTTGTTACTTTATGTTTGAACTGTTAACAGTTGTTTTATAATTTATTCGAGTACAAAAAGACAGATTGTCCTTTGTGATCATAATACAAACGCACTGCAACGACATATAAAAAACACATGCCCAATAGCATTTTAACACACAAAAAACTACCAAGAATTTAAAATGTGACCCGTGTGATTTTGTCACCAAGTACAAATCCAATTTTAAAACACATTTGGTTAATACACAAGACCATTAAAAATTTCCAGTGCGCCTAGTACGAACCACAACACCGTAAACCCCTTCATGTTCTAAGCCTCTAAGGAAATAACACGCCACGCGCCAGTGAAATGCAGTGTCGCACATGAGTGACGCCTGGATCAGACACATATATTGATTGATGATGTCAAAAAGAATGGAGTGTCGGAGGAGAGTACTCACAAAGAGCTATTGGAACTTTTATTTATTTATTTTATTTTTTACATTTGTTTTTGAGTGCGCAGAGTTTCAGCCAAGGCTACTCTACCAACACAAGCCGCTACACATTTACAAATGTCAATGCCCGAACCCAAAATCGAACCAGGGACCCTTAGTACCGTGGTCCAGGTTCAACGGAACTGCGCCACACGGGGCGACCAAAACATTAAAATTAATATCTAGTGAACGGTGTGTTGGAGGATGATACTCACAGAGAGAAAATGGAATAATCTGTACCAAACATATCTACGGGTAGTTAAAACTTTCAGTGCAAATATGTCGGAAGAGGTTACTCACAAAGGGCGATGGAACGTTTGTATAAGACATAACAGGTATGGAAAAAAATTTGTGCGGATATGACTTAGAAAGAAACCCAATAAGCATTATATGAGTGTGAAGTGAGATAGAATACACTACAAACTGAAAGCGCCGATGCCACATATGCATATTTATTTTGAGGAGATTAGTGACACACATGACACATTCAATTGTCAATACTGTCAATGTCAATATTTGTAAAGTTATGTCTCTCTCACACTCATATAATGCTTATGGGGTTTCTAGCTTATTACAAGTCAGACCCGCAATAATTTTTTGCCATACCAGTATTTATGGGTGATGTGAAAACTTCAAGTGTGAATGTATCGATAGGGAATGAATTGTATGAGAAGGGTACTGAGAAAGAGAAAATAGAACATCTGAACGAGACACCTCAAGACGAACATCTGGAAGGCATAGTGTCGGAAGAGGGAAAATGAAATGGCTGAACAAAACATATCTATTGGGTGAGCCATAAGTTTAAGGCGAGTATCTAGTGAACGTAGTGTCGGAAAAAGATACTCACAAATGGAAAATAGAATGTTTGGACGAGACATATCTATTGGCTCACGTCAGTTTAAGTGTGATAACAGTGTTTCGGAGAATGGTACTCACAGAAGGAAAATCGAGCAATAATATGGATGAAAGTGTGGTTAATTCAGAGGGTGTCAATATGAAACTTGAATAATTTAAATGATTTCATACGTCGTTTCGTATAAGAACAGTCGAAGAGCTATCCACGGGTAAAATAAGATCCTCACTAAGTTAATAAGACCACCTACTAAGAGTAAAACAACTATCCAGGGCATCAAAACTGTGACTCTACCCAACAATAATAAGAACAAAAGAAACAACTATACAATGGAAAGCACAAGTATTTTGAAGAACAATAAAAGGAGAAAGGAATGAAGGATACTCACAAAGGGAAAATGATAAAATTTTTGTGCACCATAATTACCTTCTTATCCGATGACAAGGACAGCTTCACAAGAGTGCACACAAGTTGATGTAGCAAGCTATTTTGACAATCCTCCGAAAATCCACGCATACAATGTAAACTGTCGTACATCTCCTTCAACTCCTCCTTTTGATCAGTCAGTCTTTTCTTCAAATGTAATAACCCTTCGGTTCGATTCCCGGCATTTCCCATCAAAATTCCCGTCGTCAGAAAGTGTTCGATTTCATTCTTGAGTGTAAAAACCTCCCCGCTGTATTTTACATCGCAGTACATCGAGCGAATTTGATTATATTTGGCGTCTGTCGGAAATGGATCTAGACGTTTGATGGTATCCTTGAAGAGAAGGGCGTGGTCGACGATTAAACAGTGAAGAAGTTGCATGCATTCGTTTCCAAGGTCGTTGTCCACTTTAGATATTGGCACCAGGATTGCGACAAAATCTATCAAACATTTTTCTAATGTTTTGCTATTTTGTGGTAATATTCCACGAAGAAAACTACGTAAGCATTTGGAATAAAATGTGTTTATAACCAAATTATTCTTATAATCGGACTCTATTAAATGGATGAGCGTGTATGAGATCGTTCGGATCAAATATGTATTTAGATTATTGCATTGTTTCATATGTGGTGCAAGTGCGTCGATAAAAAAAGTAAACCGATGGAATGTGATTATTTTTTCTTCCTCACTATAGGATCGATGTACTTTGGATATTAAACGCATAAGAATTTTGTGGGATTTGATTCCATTCCCTTGCAAACAATAAGTTAGCGGTGCGGATCCATTTAGATATACGTTCTGCAAACTCGCGATTATCAATAATCGTTCAGTTTTCTCAATACTTACAGCAATGTGATCCAGGCATACGTTTAAGTCCCTCGTGTTACACGATGGCGTTGGTTGTTCAGGCAGTGAACAAGATATACTGTATTGGTCATTTAAGTACACTGGATCAAAGTAAAGATCCAGCAAGCACACTATTACTTCATCTATTTTCTCCAACATCAACTCGTTTACCACGCTCGGTGTCAGTATCTGCTCGAAATTGTTGTAGCAATGGTTGTTGTTAACATTCGACGTGATGTTAATTATGTATTCTGCCACAAGTCGAGGGTAGTAGTCCTGTAAACGCAAGTATTACACTGGTTCCGGCACAGTAATACCACATACCTTTAAAATATCCACTTTAGATATTTTAAAATCTACGCAGACTTTATCAAACAAAGGAAGATTTTCCAAGAGTACCGGTACTAACAAATGTTTATACTTAAAGCAGAACGACTCTAAGGAGTTACAAGCGAATAAACCATACGGAAATTGAGCTAGAGGTAAATTATGACTTCTCCAGAGGGAAATTAAGTAATCTAGATTTGAACTTAATAACAGTGTCGAGTCGGAAATATTTAAGAGTTTTGCTACCATATCTAATATTTGCAGTGTAGAATCTGTAACAGACTAAATTAAGCGGCTAATCGTTAAGCTGCCACCGTACCAGTATTCAGATTTTTTTCATTCACCAACTGAATTAATCTAAAGAGAGCTTCCCGTCGAAAAATTGAGTTTACGGATATTATAGCCACGAATGTATGTAAAACGCTTGCTGTGCGCGTGACACTCTCATCAATTTTGCGTTCGTTAGTGATATTTCCTTTTACATTGAACACTTCATTGCTCTTAAAAGTGAATTTTTACTGGGCCATTTCCGTACTACCTATAGGTACTTACCATTTCACAAATTTTTACAAACACAGTTTTCTGTAGATGTCTCTGCGGTTTTGTTTGCGGGCTTTGTTTGTAAATGGTTTTCAAGTGCCGCACGGCAGTTATGCGAACGTTCTGGTAATCGTTGACTAAAAACTCCGGAATCGATAAAATCACCTTTTCGTCGTTGGGCCACTTGGACCATTGCATGTCAGGATCAAACTGCAATAATCGTCAATGCGAATAATACAGCTATTACCACGGTACAATAAGACAAGGTATGCCTATAACTGAACGCAAATTCGTCAAGTTCGCGCAGATGACGTTTTTATCCCAATGACGTCACAAGAATCACAGCCAAGTTTGAAAATGGCATACGCTTCATACTTGAATTAGAAGTGCATTTTAAAGCAAGTTAAGTTATTAAGTATTTTGGTTGCGTAATTACACTGGGCGCATTTTAAAACCTTGGAAGTTTTGTGTGCATTAACATATGCTTTTTAAACTGTATTTATTAGTTGCACAGTCCCACTAGGCACACTTTAAGTCCTTGGAACTCTTGTGCATTAAGAGATGCTTTTTGAAACTCGATTTATAATTATAGTTGCAACATATTGCATTGGACACATTTTAAATCCTTGGAAATCTTGTGTGACAACAGATTAAGAGGGCCTCTTTATTGCTGGTTGAGTAATCGCACTGGATGCATTTAAAAATAAATTCCAGGAAACAGAGAAGGTAATACTATACTTATTTCAGAAATTTAATCAGCCTTTTAAGTTTTTCTTATTGCCACTAGAGGTCTCGTCGTTATTTGGAAACGTAAAGTCACTAAATATAGAAAGTACCGCAATCCATTGGGCTCGTGTGTTAGAGAGAGAACGCATGATTTTTGCCCAAAAATGGCGGAAGTAACTTCTAGTACCTTTAATGTTAGGGATTGTTCCACCTGTTTGGAGATATCTGTATATATTTTTATAAAACATGACAGAAATGACAGCTATTCAGATTTTATTTGTCAATTTTTTTTAGTTGGCAGCAAATTTGCCCAAAATGGCGGATGATTGCGATACTTTCTATATCTAATGACTTTATGGAAACGCGAATATATTACATATTTTTATTGTAACTTTAAATATTTGTATTGCTAACATGCAATAATTGATACGTTGTAAGTTTAATGTGTGAAACTTGACGCAGTTGACATAAATTGAACAAATCTTATCACATCCGTAAAAGAGATACATTATTATTAACTGGTAGGACTACACAAACCCCATAACTTTATTGAGTGGTAGAGCCCAGTTATCCCAATGACGTCACGAGCACATGCGTATAGGCATACCTGTCTTATTGTACCATGCCTATTACAAAGTACAAACCTGAACTAGCCTTCCGATGCAATTTAGAAGGGAAACTGAGACGAGTGGTCCGTAGTTATGGCGATATTGGTAGAAAACGTGCAATAATGTCATAAAGTTTGAACTAACACTGCCGCAATTTAAGTGGGCGACATGTGGAATTAAATCTACAACATAAATATATTGAAATAATTGTTTGGTTAATACATAATATAAATTTGAGTTTTGTGCTACTGTCTGTCTATACGTATGTAATAAGAATGACCCATTGTAGAATTTGAAACAGGTATATTAATTTTCAATAGTCAGTTTGTACCATTTAAAGAGACCTGCTGTTAAAATCATCAGAAGTAGGGCGGAGAGCATATTGTAAACGGAAGACGGGTCGGCATAAATGCGAAAATTGACCCTTCCCCAGAACTATTTCGGAATGCGATTAATGACGATTGAATGTGTGCCATGATGGTCAGTGGCAAGGATACCCTACTTGCAAGGAGGCGGCTTGAGTTCGATTCTTTGCAGGGAAAGTTTTTTTTTTTCACAAAAAAAGCGTATTCCAGTTAAGCGGAGTTGGACATTCGGTTATTTGTAGGTTTAAGATTGTCTTCTCAAATTTTTTGAAAAGCAAAGTTCTACAAAAAGGCTGCGGAGAATATGCGTGCGGAGTGCGGCCAGGCGGGATTTCATTTGTAGATACTGACACATCTCATATATATCATAAGCGAGTTGTGGTGGCGTGGTGCAATCAGGCGAGCAATTACTGTTTTTCATTTGGGATATAATTCGTTAATCGTTACCTAGGGGCCCTAGGCTAGGGCTCGCATCCGCGCACGCTTTCCCATAATTTGCAATTTGTCGTTCTCGAAAGGCATGAGTTGAGGCGACTTTATCTCGACATATACAGTTAATAACCCCAACCTGGCAACGTCTTAATATTATCAGAAAAAACTCGTGGTTGTGGTTGATCCATGCTCAAAATGGGGGTAATGAACCATGAATGAAATAAACGACTCAATTCCTCAAAACCTTCCCCATGGATATTTAATTGTTGACAGACAGATATATTGTGAAATGTTAAGACATGTTTCGATTGTTAATCATCTTTAGGTAACAAACTAAAATATTTAAAGTTAAACCGTTGACTAGATAGCTATTAAAAACACTTACTTATAAGTACGGTGTGTGAGAAAAATTACATTATTGAAAAGTTGTTGAAGCCATGACGATACATGTTGAAGTTTTGAAGATGCATTGAAATATTATAAGTAAAATTAAGTTATTTAAATTAAATTTTCAAAATTTTGAGTTAACCTAGAAAAGTCTCGGGTAACACATTGTATTTGTAAGATCTTATACTTACGGGCCATGGTGAAGAGGATAAATTTAAACAAACATTAACATAGTTGATATAAAAAAAATAATAATTAATTAATAATTAATATACAGGGTGATTCCTATAGTACCTGCCACCGTTTGGGAGCGTATAGGGGGTGCCTAGGGGAGTATTTTGATATAGGACACTTGGGGTCGGAAATCTAAAATAAGGGCGCCAGAACCAAATTTATCTTCTGGAATTTCACGCCTGTATGTAGGCAACCCAACCGACCGACGTTTCGCGCGGAGCGATGCAGAGCGAGTTAGCGCGAGGAAGCGACATGGGAGGGAAGGAGGGAAAACGACAGTCAAAAGCAATAACGTTTACAAGTGTTCAACGTGGCCACCGTTGTTCTCAATGCACTTCCTACATCTAGCCAACTATTATTATACTATTGCCATAGTGTTTATTCACTTGATACGTGTCGTTGCAGACGGGATTTCGTGGGTTTAAACAAAATTCTGATCAAGTGTCAGCCACACATCGCCGCCTGAGATCGCTCCGTGTGCACCGCCGGCCGGTTGGGTTGCCTACCTACAGGCGCGAAATTTCAGAAGGTAAATTTGGCTCTGGCACCCTTATTTTAGATTTCCGACCCCAAGTGTGCTATATCAAAATACTCCCCTACGCACCACCTACACGCTCCCAAACGGTGGCAGGTACTATAGGAATCACCCTGTATTTAATTAAGTAATAATTAATTAAAAATTAATTAATTAATTAATAGTAAATAATTAATTAATATTATTATGGAAGACTTATCTTTCTATAAAGCACCGACAAAATGTATAAGACCACTACCAACAACTAACACAAAACCGAAAAGGGTTTTTTTTATTGTTAAAAAATGCCCTAATTATGTTGGAGGAAGTGACCGACGTCGTTTTGAAATTGAGGTTTTGGTTTCCCGAAAAGATAAGGTTGGGATAAGTCAAATTTGAGAATCTAAACCAACAACAAAGAAGGAACTCTTATAGCAGTAATAAAAAGGTCTCTATACGCTATTCATTTTAAGAAGGTAGCGGTAGAAAGCATAGCGACAGTTTGACTGTGATTGGTTAAAACACGAGTCAGTATTACCCTGAAATATAAAACAAGTGACGAATTCTGTCTTTTAGAAGTTTCAGCTACGAACTAAACTGTCGAATTGTCATTAGCTGTCAATTTCAAAGATCCAAGCGTGATATCGTTTGATTTATATGTATATTTTTCAAATTATGTGCCGTGTTATATTTTTCGTGTGTGTGTCTTCAAACACAGCGTCATCTACTACTTTCTTATAATGAATGCAGTATAGATTGTCCTTTTTAGCCCGTCAAAATAAACATAAAAATACTGATCAAATAACAAAAACTCTGGCAGAGCTGAATTTTGGAAGAAATAAAGTGCCAAAAGTTCCCATAGATACCATGTGTGCCAAAAAGTTATTCAAGGTCAAAGGTCAACATTTTGTTTTTTGAATTTTTCTCGACAACTGTAAGTGTTATCAACCATATAGATTAGACAGAAATTGTAGATCATAAAATGATAATAGTTTTTATACTTTTTCTCCTAAGAATCACCATTCCTAAGATATCTTTTTTTTCTTAAATTTTGTGACAGTTTATTTTGAACCTTCTTTTTTTTTAAAAATGTGTTATTATTAAGTTTAACCAGTGGCGCAGATGGGGGGGGGGGCGGAGATTTTTAAAACCGAGGTAGCTCGAAAAATAGTGGTCTGATGGAAAACTGGTAGAAAAACTTTTTGTTTAGTTTTTGTCGCATAACACCATCCCATAGTCCGTGTGCGCGAATTTCGAAACACCCTGTATTACCGCACAATAGTAGCGTACAATACATTTGACTATTTGGATTGTTCAAAACCGCCTCCCCACCAATCATGCACCAGCAAATACAGTAGCAGACCTGACACCTTGACTGAAATTACGTGTAACACGGTACAATATTTTTTGTATTAATAATATGTCGTCGATGTGGTGAAATTTCACTAAATCTGGCAACATTGCGCTTGCGGCTGTTACGTTGCGTTTCTATCAAAATTTAAGCCAGCAAGATGCAAATCAGTGCAAATTATGTTGCAAGTGACAAGGGCTCAAAACATTTTGAGGAAGAATGCAGAACCAGGGAATCTCAGGGGTATGGAACAACCCCCAGAAAGAAATTATGGAGTAATGTAGAACTGGCGATCTGGAGGGTATGGAATTTCTCATTTCCCTACAACTATCATAAAATATTCGTAGGTATATTGGGGGGATTCCATATTCCATAATCCAACAATACGTTCAGCTATAAAGACTCTTTCCCAAAATGATCGACGATCGTATAAGTGTTAAGGGCTCTAAACGTTTCGAGAAAAGGCCAATGTGCAGTTCAGTTGAAGCTGGACTGCGGTACTAAGGATATTTGTAAATGTCTAGTGGGTTGGGTTGGTAGAGCTAAAGTTACTAGATGTTTGAAAGTACCACAATCAATTGTAACCATGTGTTAGAAGGAGACAATAAAAGCGCCACAAAATGGCTGACTGACAGATTATTTACGTCAATTCGACAGACAACAACAATTTTCATGTTGAAAACTTTATATAAAACTAAGTGAATGTTGTGCCCTAGTTTATAGTTTGGCTCAGAAAAAATGCCATGGTGTTCAGTTACCAGATTCAGCAGTAACAGCTTCTCGTTTATTGTATACCACATGCTGGATCAAATGTGAAAAGAACAAACTTGTGTTTAAAATTCATTAACCGCCCGAGCTTCCTTTAAACGCGAAAATTTGCGAAGTAAGTGATGACAACGTCATGTCTTAAGAAAACAATAAAAATTAATTGAATTTTCTACAACCACAAGTGACTTAAAGGTCGTTTACACTTTGTATTTTCGTCAAAATCTAAGAAATGAGTTGCTGTCGAGTCGCCTTTGGAAGTTCAAGTTAACTATGATTTCCCATGTAAACAAAAATTCCAAAGGTAACTCGACAGCAACTCATTTTTGATCGCATAGTATTACAAAAATGAATTATTTTATTTCAAATCCGAATTAACCCAGTTAAAATCTTTCGCCAATCCAAATTTCCCGCCACTTTTCGTCCCAAAATGGCGGACAATTTGAGGTAATTTTCTAGTAACCCCTCCCACTCAAAAATAAAACCAAAAATAAATAAATAAATAATGCAGAACGGAGGGATCTGAGGGGTATGGAACAACCCCCAGTCCAGTGCTACGCTCGTCACAAAACGTTCGGCTATACATTTGCAAGAGCTAAGGGCTCTAAACGTGATGAGGAAAAATTCATTCCTCGTTTCCCTACAACTACCGTACCGGTCGTGACCCTAACAGTTAATTAAGTTTGTAAACAGATGTCGCAGGTGCCCCATTTAGCACATAGATATACATATAAATAATGTTAATATATCTATGCTTTAGTATAGTATATCCTACTTTAGAGAAGGATTGTAGATATTTTAACAAAATAAGGAAGCGAAAAGGACCTGTTTCGAACGAGCGCTTGTAGTGTAGTATTTGTCTCTGGCCCGAGTGCCGATTAGTGTTTAGTGTAAAAGAACAGATTCTTATTACAATGAGCCCAAGTTACGACAAACAGACAGACAGATAATAAATGCTAGTACTTACAATGTAATATTTGTAATATGTTCAAAGCACTATCATGCCTAGTATAGTACACTTCGCATATTGTTTGTATGCTCAGTAGAATTTTTTCCAAAATAGGAACGGAAATTACTCCACAACGCAATCTTTCAATATTGTTTAAGAACGCTATGGTCTACAAATTAAAAGTACTTACTTTTGACTGTAACAGCACGCATACTTACGTGATCACAGTCGCTTTTTAATTTGGCATCAAAGTCGGGCTCCGCTAAAGCGTCCAGAATTTGCTGTTGAACTTCCGATTTGCTAGTCGGGGGTACGCTGCAAAAACTGCACAAGATATCGATGCTTAACGAGCTCAAATTGTTTAGGGACTTTTCCTTTTCTTGATTGCCTGTCAGAAACAAAAATGAATTGGGAGTAGCTGATTCGATAAAAAAAACTGGCATTCGTGGTACAACTAACACTGTATTGGATCCTACATACTATGTTGAAGAGATGCCATTGGAAAGCCTGAAGCAATGAGTTTTACTAGCAATCTCAAATGCCAGCCTATAATTAAAATACAAAGTAATCATATATCATTATTATTTGTTTTGACTAAGTGCAAGCATTTTTTGTTTTGCAAAGCACTATTATTATTATTACATTATTATTAAAAGAATTTTATTTATTGTCCTGAGCATTCTTTCAGGTGGTCCTTTGAAAGTGTTAAGGTCACTGGTGTTAGGACTGCCTCTAACATTTTGGTCCTTCGAGCCGGATCGGTTCGTGGATTAATGTTCAGTGATGGTTCTAAACTGTGATTGACTGATGATCAGCCAAGCCATTAAGGTGACAACATAGAATGGGTGTGACGTAGCAACAAGGAAAAATTCTGGTTAGATTGAAAGAGACACACGCCGGTATTTTCAAGAGATCCAGCAGAATGGGCTATGTGAAGAATCTTCTCTTGTGCAATTCTAAATGTGGCCTTCGAGGAATTTGAGAAAAGATTTGGAAGACCAGCCATGTTTTTATACAATGAGGAAGCTCTCCTCACCTCAAGAAAATAAACCGAAATCATTTTTGGAATTTGTGAATTCTATTAATGGCTTCATAATAATGACATTTGAATGTCCTTGGTAGCTGTCGAGTGCTGATATTAGTGAGCGTAGAAATCAAATAGTGAAATCCAAGGAAAAGTCACCCACTAATGGAAACAGTCTCAAACAAGGGAAGTTCGAGAAGAAGGACCTGTGTGAAATAAAATCTACCCTACTGTAATTTACAGGTGAGCTAGTTAACGTCGCTCATGGTTCAACGCGCATTTTAACACCAAATAAAATCCCCCCTTAGGTAATGTACAGATAAGTGACTTAACTTCGCTCACGGTTCAACGCGTATTTTATCACAATATAAAATCTACCCTACGGTAATTTACAGCTGAGTTCGCCACATTTGCAAAAAGTGAATTTGTTTAAGAGAGTGAGTGAGTCACAAATCTTGATAGGACAAGATAATAGTCATCTCATCATTACAAGAGAATGTATTGAGCCTCCCATAAAGAACGCTCCGTGGGTATCAAGGTGTAACTTAGGATGGACAGTTCACAGTCCTTGTTTGGATGAGAGTTCATGGAAGGATCGGTCGTTTACCTGACATTGGGAACGAGGTGAAATGATACTAGATCCTAAACACCCTTTGACACAACTCCTTTACGAGCACCTGGGACACGCTGGAGGAGTAGAACGCCTTCTCAATTGGAAGAGATATGTGGAATGTTAAAGGAGAGGGGCCCCGAGCTGATATACCCGAAATGGGCCTCCTTCAAATGGAGCGTGTGAGTGGATTTCATCGCCTATTGACTTACACAGGAGTCAATTATTTTGGCGCATTGTATGTAATTGCTGGAGGGCGAAGTGCGAGGGGGAGAAATTGTAGGGAATCTTATTTACATGCCTTTCCCTTCGAGCTGTACATTTGGGACAATCCATAGCGAGACGAAGGGGTTTGTGGTGGACATAGCACCAAAATGAACTATTTTTAACCGTAGTTTACTGGCCACTAAAACTTTCAAGTTTAGGGGCGTGGGGTGGAACGAACCCCAGATAGAAAAGACTAAACTTGGAAGGTACTCCCAGGCCAAAATATTGAAAGGAAAAAACTTATGGACATTGAAAGTGGCTGTGGGGTGCGATCCACCCCAGACCTGTAAACTTGAAAGTTTGTCTAAAAGTAGTGATAAAATAAATTAAACAAATATAGCAAACGAGCTCCTGGGTATGGCTATAGCATATGCAGAACCAAATTTTAAACCTGATGTTAGTTTTGCTTTTATTTAAAGTGTATATGTATGAAATTTCATTTGAATGCCTCCATAAATAAGCTGCGCATGCGCAAAACCAAATTTTGAAACTGATGTTAAATTTTCTTTTATTCCAAGTGGTTATGTACCAAATTTCATTTAAATCCCCCTATAAATCAGAAAGTTGGCACTGCGCATGCGCAAAACGAAATTTTGAAACTGGCGTAAAATTTGGTTTTATTCCAAGTGGCTATGTATCAAATTTCATTTAAATACCTTCATAAATAAGAAAGTTTGCAATTCGGTCTGTAAATGGTCGAGATACGCAAAGGGCACTGTGAATGCTGATCGATTAGGTTCAACTTTTGGAATTGTGTTTTATATTGCTAAAGCTATGCGCACATTGAATTTCATGCAATTCGGTTCATAACTAACGGAGATGTCAAAAGGGCCTACTTTATTTTTTGGGCTACATTGCCAATTGACCAACTCCGATCTACAAATTTTATAAAGAATCCACCTGCAAAATTTCATCGTAATCGGCCCATTCGTTTATGAGTTATCGTGCTAATGGACGGACGGACAGACACAACATTATACTCGCTAGGAGCTCGTTAATAAAAACTCAAATCTTTCAATTGATGGTTAAAACATCCCTTAATCGTGTTGTACAGCAACTAATTATTAGTTTTAATTCCATAGCCCCCCTTACTTTGCCCGTATTATCCGTAACGTCAATTTTGGTAGGTTATATACACCTGCGGATTTCAAATTATATAACAATGTATTGACATTTTGGGTTTGTGTATTAGGTCGGTCGACCTGACTCAAACAAAATTGTCATCGTCCTCCGTGAATGCTGAGATTCTTCATGTGGGGTTGTTTGAATAGATCGGAAGAATCCTTTTAAGAGCATATGCCAGGTTAATCCTAGCCGGCCTTATTTGGAAATCTTTAAGAGTCCGAGAACATTACTCTATGATACACTCTGACATCTTATTTTCTGCATTTGTTATAATTAATTAGTACAAGATCATCAACCGATGTAGTTTTATCATAAATGCAACAAATGTTAAGTACACTACTTATCCTTACCATCAATATGTTTATTTAACAGCCCAAAAATATTCTGTATAAAGTCCATTGTAACCCACGTTCTCAGTTTGGTAGCTAATAAGGAATGAACCTGCACATCGAACAGTGTTTTTATCTGTTTCAGAATATTTTCCACACAATCGACATTTTTCTTTTTATCCAAAGCGTGAAACACAGGCTGGACCATTTCGATCCAATTTTTAAATGTATCTTCCAGCACTTTTAATAGGCTGTTCTGTTGTGAACTATATTCGTCAAGCATTCTATGTTCCATCATTGTAGATAAAACATTAATGAACAGGATTATGGCATTTAGCAGATTCAGTGCCTTTTTAAAAACCTTCGTGTTGGTATCGCAAAACTGAGTCATCAGCTTGATCAGATTTTCTTCCAAATACTTATAGGTTTTATCACATATAACATACAGCTTGTCTAATTCTTCTACTTCATTCACTACGGACGGTTGTTCCTCACTTGTGTCTAGTAAACAATCAAAGAAAGTAACTCGGTACAAAGTTTCCAAAGTAATAAATTGATCCTCGTTGGACACTTTATTTGTAGTCAGATTTGGCCACTGTTTAAATGACAAAAACAGTAGACTTTTAGCTACGAGGGGTTCAGAAAGAATGCACGTGTCGCTGTTTTTCCCCAAATCGAATTTTAATATCCAATCAACGAGAATTTCTTTATCACTGCTGTTCCCGTTTACCTTCCCGGACGGTGTTCCGTACTGCTGACATGCGTTGCATAATGTAGTTATACTGTGGATATTCAGATTTACTACTTTGGATAGATATATTCGAAACAATTGATATGTATTCACCATTTTTCTTTTTGCAATAATCTTTTGCAATAGCTCATGAGTCTGCTCTTCACACTGATTTAATCCTACCGCCCTAAAATGGTGTGTGTATTATTTTTCATTTAAATTATTTGCGTTACCTTAAAGTGCAATCTGCGACAACCGTCCACAAAGATTCCACTTTCTCAGATCTGAGTTCAATATGATATTGGACGTCTATTAATATCGTCAAACATTTATATAAATAAAAACATAAATTTAAACATTTACATTCTGCCTGTACAGCAGAAAGAACTTGTAATAACCACACAAATTCCTCATTCGAGATTACTTCCGGGTATTTTTTTAATATTTCGGTCATCACATGAATCCTGCAATAAACAGCTTAGAGGTAAGTTTACGAAAAGACAAGATAATACCAAGACCAATCTTTGGTATCCTGAATGCTACGAATTATAAATGACACGCCAACTTCTACCTTTGAACGTTTCTCTGGCGGTTGCTGATCTGAACTGTTGCTAATTTTTCTGCTGGTAAATAGGAGCTATAAAAATACGTGTGTAAGTTGTTGTAGAAGAATTTAAAACAGACCTGGCGAAACACTTCGACAAAGAGGGAAACAAATTCTTTATTAGAAGGCATATAATGGGACTGCTTCGAGGTAATTGCAATAGACTGATATTTGGTCAGTTCCATATCGGACATCTCTTGGCATAGAAGAGAGTATAAAGAACGTAGGTACTGACGCCAGTCGGACCAAGAGCATGCATACGACAGCATATTTTCGTCAATTGCCCCTTTCGGATGATGAATTTCTATTTGAAATAGAAACAATTTCAAAATCAAAATCTGAAACAAAAACCCTCTAAGAATAAAAACCCCCGAAAACTCAACTTACCTTAATATGAAATTCGACAGTTTGCGATTGATAAATCTCGATCAAATTACTGAAAATATTTTCGCCCAGTTTACAGCAAGCCAGACGATTGTCTCCGGCCGTCTGCAAAAAACCAAATTAAAATGCCGCAAATTGATAGTTACAAAATTACGTTTGTCATGAATTCCAAGAGTATGGTCATAATCACTTCTTGCTGATGTTTCGATGACGTGCTGTCGATATCCTTGCATAGTTCGAGCATAAACGTAAATTGCTCACGCACTTGGGAAATCGGTAGGCAGTGCACGGGACCCCACTTCAATAGTAGTCTAAGACACTGCAGCAATTTGATTCGGTCCATGTGAGGTAGGGAAATTTCGAGTTGGTGTTTGATGCACGTTAAAAGCTCTTTAAAAAAACTGTATTGAAATTCCTTAATTCAAAATCATTAAGTAATTCAATTAAATTTAATAATATACAAGTTAAAAATGGTGCAATTAATTTCAAACTTGTAATTTACTAAGCAATTAATATTGAATTATTGAATTTTTACATAGCTGGCTGGCATCTTCAACTAAAAAAATACAAATTGCTTACCTATCCATTCTTGAGCTTCTATTTGTCCATAATGGAAAGGCAATATTTCATCCCTTAAGACAATAAGATATGGAATATTGTAATACTTTGTCAAAATACGAGATTTAAAAAATTCAAAAATACATTGGAGAACATCAGAAACTTTGAGATTTTTTTCTAAAATTTAAAAAAATAATTTCAAAAAATTGTCACTTATTCATTGTACCTTTTAAATTTGCTGTTTTAATTACATTGATCAGTAATACCCCATAATTTGTTGTAGCATAATAGGACGGGGTTTTCTTTTTATGCTCGTCTTCGTCCAACTTTGCTGCTTCCTATAGACATTAAAAGCACAAAATTGTAATGAATAACAAAAACACATAAGTTACTCGACCCATACGAGTGCCCAAGCTTTCTGCTGTCAAGGGTCACGAAATGACCGAGCAACTGCATGAGAAACACTGGTAAGAGACAAACCAAAGCTTTACTGGGTGTTCACTCGATTGATTTATACCATTAACGGGCACTGTCGAAACAAAAAAAATCTGCACAAAGTGGAACTTGAACTAGACCCGAAAGAACGCAATTATAAGGCGTATAATAATAATAATAATATTTATTGGTATAATACTTCAAGACAAAGGAATCTATCAAAATGCTCAGCAGGAAAATTTTGGACAGACCTCTCAAGGGAGTAAGGTAAGGATAAAGGTAGAGAGTATAAAATAGGTCCCAAGACCTGGAGGACTGATCTGATTTGTTGGACTCACCTTTTGCAGAAAATGATGCACAATTTTGAATACATCAGTCCAAGGTATTGTTGCATTAACATCTTGAGAGGCCGATTGTTGCTCCAACAGCGATGACAGCAATTCGAAACTTCGCTTTCTCTCAAGAATTTTATTCGAAAGCAAACCCCGACAGTACTGTTTAATTCCTCCGTTGGATGTTGCCATATTCACAACAGGATACTTGCAACATTAAATTCTCGACTGACAATAAGTGTAAAAGAGTTAATCATTTGAAGTTGACTTCACAATAAAGAAAATAAGTAAAACATTCATCTCGACATTCATTACACTAGATCATGACCCCACACATATCTCAACACTTTCCCGAGGATTGTGTTGAAGTTTCAGCAATTTGTTAACAAACATAACCTACAAACACAAAAAGTTGAAACGCGGGAAACATTGACATTTATTGTGGTTACCAACACACAAGCGCTTACTGGAGTAACGACTCTTGCGCATATACAGATCCGAAAAAAATTATGGCGTGCCTGACTTATAATAGGCTAGGGTTTCAATGAATGTGAAGTGAGATAAAATACACAACAAACTAAAAGCCCCGATGCCATTGGTGCGTTTTGACACATTTAACTGCTACTGTCAATGTCAACATTGGTAAAATTATGTGAGTACTTCTTAGCAGAAAATAAAAAAAAGGAAAAACACAAAATTTGAAAACAGGCCACTTAATAAGCGCCTAATCAGCACCTATAATTATTAGTTAGTTCACTTTTCATTTTCTTGGGTTTAAGGTAGTGTTCTCCTGGGTTCATATGAACCTGCAAAAACCAAGGAAGGTATAATTTATATAGAGCATCCTTGGCAAAAACATGTAATTATTTTTAAAAAAAGGAGCATTTAATTCGGGATATGGGCACTTAATTAGCACCTAATTATGCAATATGTTTGATTGTTTCTGCTGACCTTGCTCTGCTAGGGTTCATGGACATCTATCAATGGCAGTACGAGAGTCTCTTGGTTTGCGTGTCAATTCTTTACCCTGTATATGAATAGACCTCCACGTCCGTCGATACCTATACACTTCCACTAAATGTTTGGTTAGGTATCGTGCGTGCTGAATAATAATTTTTCCTGTCTTTGATCCTGTTTAGTGAACCAACCGTTAGCGATGACGCGTTTTGCACGAGCAAAAGGATCTAATAAACGCATCCCCGAAGAAGCAACATCTTGGCAAGGCATGAAACACGACAAATCATCCCCGACGAACAGCTCCGCCAAAGAAGAATCCCTCAATAAGAAGTCGGTTAACAGCATTAAAAAGAAATCCAAAAAGAAGGGCGAACAACTTTTCAAAGGGAGCTCAAATAAAATACTTCTCAACGGAATCGAAATTGAATTGGCCTACTTTGACGGATTTCCAATAAAGAAATCCGACGCGGACAGGTTAAAACAGTTAAAGAAAGACATGATTAGTAAAGGTATAGCGCGTAACGAAATTAACGTCGCGTTAAAATTAGAGCGGCGGAGGGCGGAGAAAGCGTTAGCTAGGGAGAAAAAGAAAGTATGCTTTAATTGTCGTAATGGCGGCCATACACTTTCCGAGTGCCCCCAACTTCAAAGTAACTCAAACATACCGCAATTTCAAAGTGGCATTTGTTTTAAATGTGGTTCGACGGAACATACACATTTTGAGTGTAAAGTTACGAAAGGAGAACATTTCCGATTCGCTCAGTGCTTTATATGTGAAGAACAAGGGCATATTGCGAAGCAGTGTCCCAATAATGATAACGGTATTTATCCGAATGGAGGTGCGTGTAACGTATGCGGGGATGTTAACCATTTCAAAAAAGATTGTCCTTTACATCAGGAGGGTAAAGCCGAATCGAGAGTTGTTGCCGATAAAATAAACGAGGACAATATAGAAAGCCTGGAAGTTCGTCCCTCTAAATCCACTGAAACGAAAAAGATAAAAAAGAAAGTCGTTAAATTTTAAGTCATTCGTGTTCCAACATTTTTAAACTTCATTTGGTTATAATTATTGTGTATAAACATTAATTTTGTTGCATTTTTTTGTGGTATCTTGTTATAATTAAACAATTAAATCAAAAAAATATTGATTTTACCAATCCAAGAAATTTTTTTTATGATAAGCAAAACTACATTTTATGTTAATTCACATTTATTTAGCCTTTAAGGTAGGATGGGTACAAAAACCATTAATTAGGCAAAATTGTGATTTAGGGATTATACTGTAGATGTTCTGTGACCCATTAGGGTTAAAATTTTATGCTCTAGCAGCATATTAGATTCAGGTGGTAGCCCTAAACATGCACGTAAAATATTTTCAATACTATGTCTTTGTCTAAATAACGAATTAACAATTGGTGTTCCTTTCGGTACAAGTGGTGCCTTACACAAATAACCGAGAACAGATAAAATAGGGTGAAACGAAGAATATTTCGTTTCTTCAACTTTCTTGAACTCAATTCTGAAACACAGTTCAGCTAGAATCACAAGGTCTAGAATAATAGGTGCGGCTAAAAGAGAATCTTCACAGGTGTTGTGTAAAACAAGGGTATTATGACCACCCATCATTATCTGAGACACATATTCATCCATAGCTCGCTTAGAATCACCTAAAAGTAATAAGTAGATCCTCAAACCACTTTTATATACACTCACCAACATAAGGGACATATTTAATGACAACACAATGATCTGGTTTTTCATTTTCGGAATATAAAATTTTATTGGAATTAACCATGTCATCCACCACGTTACTTTTGGATATCTGTTGGATTGCGCGTAAGTATCAGAAATACAGAATGAAATAATCACCTCTTTGGACCTGAATTGCGAAGGGGCCGAGAGATTCTTTCCGTCATTGTTCCCAAGATGATTGTAACTTACAATACTAACAGGTTTAATCCCAGCACTAACCAAGAAGTCTACCAGCACACTTTTAATCTTTGTTTGGCCAGATTTAAAGTCGTCACCGCCTATAAACACATTTCTTTTTTGTGCCAAATCGATTATTCCGGGCACAAAGGTATTTTGAGGAGAGCCATTTAGGTAGGTACACTGCAACATTTCATAAATAAAACGTTGCAAACACAAAATTATACCTTCATCAGAATGGATGCATAGGCGAAAAGGGTAGAAGGCGAAATTTCTGAATAATTGTTGTCAACAGCCTTTTCAATGTTGTCAGCAGAATCATTTACATTTGCTATAATTGTACTGAAACGTTCCGTATTAGCCGTCCATACAACAATAACATGATCAAGACAGGCTCGCTTTCTAAAGTCTTCAATGTCGTTACAAATTTGTTGCACTTGAGCTCTCTTAGATCCCCGTAGAAAATTATTAGCACGGTCCGCCTGAAAATTACACACTGTTAAGTAGCATTCACAACCTTAAAATTAATACGCACAATTAACAATTCAAAATTAGCGTAAACGTTTAAGCTATGTATTTTAAAGGGCAACATTCACAATATTGAAAATTAATCGTTAGAATTAATACTTAACGCAGAAGTTTGTAAACTGCAAACTTTACAGCTTAATTTTACTGAAATTAACAGAGGCACGCATGCGTGCTTTTGTATGACAGTCAACATAACCATGCCTTTTTTTGTTTTGATTTTGTTACGTCTACAATGAATGTGGAGAACAGAAAAGTACTTAGCCGCATTAGGATTAGCGAGAGGATTAGGCCCGATTTTTTTGCTTGCGCTACAAGATATGATGAAAGTTGCCATATTAACCTCTCTGTTACATAGATGGCGACACTGCTTACATACTAATTTCACGTATTAATTTCATGCATTGCGAATGATTCCTTTACGTAAAGTTAACGTAATAATTTCACTTATTAATTATAAAAATTAATTGGACGTTGTGAATGCAGCTTTAGAGTTGACACGTAAAGAATTAATTTCACCTGATTTGCGGCAATAAAATCGGGATCGTAGATAGACGGCCTTGGCTTTAACTTTTCAAGGAATGGTTTCAATTTTTCCTGCAAATAAGGATCTAGCACTTGGGCACGCTCGCACGCTTCCGCCAAATTCGCGCCGGATATATCCCAACCGTCAATTTCCAAATCGTTGGGGTGTACCATGGGAAGTATGGAATGGAAGGGTATGTATACATCTTTGCCGTCTGCATCGGTACCCAATCGGATTGTAGACGCTTGTGTAATTGAACCATACCTGATATAAAACAAAGAAGTCATTTTTTATTTTTTTGTTGGAAAGGTCTAGAAAGCTATGGGAAGTGGCTAAAAGTTCACCATTTGGATACACGCACAAAACAAAACATAAAAGATACTCCAAATAATGACTAGAAGACTCAAACTTTCTAGAATCTCTTTTGTTCTAGGAAGCTTGCCGAGGACCCTGAACAAATCCTCTATTACAAACAATCAGGGCGGCTGTTAATCAGCAGAATTTTTACTTTAACTCAGTTTCAGGTTTCTATGGAGAAATAGGATAGATTGATCGAACTAGTTCTGAACTTACCCTTTCAAGTGTCAATTCATTAATCTTTAATTAAGACACTATTGATAAGTATGGAATTGAAACTCTGAATTGGGGTAAGCTTGAATACAGAGAAAAATCTATATGAATTTTCATAGAAGAGGGCCAAGGTCTAGATCCATTGAGGCTTCTGTGAAATACAAGGATTAGGTTAGATGTAAAAGTTGGAGGGGGGATACCACTAAGCATCCAGCAGGCTCAAGAGAACTTTTTCAGTCTCTTAGGTGCTTTCCATAGATATTGGGAGGGCGATAGGATACTCTGAAAAGCATTGAAGGCTCCCCAAACCTTTAAAACACATATAGAGCCCCTTTTGAAATAGTTCTACGGGAAATCCTCTGAATTAGAAAAAGCTCTGTATAGGGTATAGCAATAATTTCCTAATGTTATGAATATTTCAGTGTTTGACGGGTTGCCTATACTTTAGACTGTCTTAATTTCTCTCTTCTCCCCTTCTGTTATAAAAGTATTGAAAATTGGGCTGTCACCTCAAATAAAGACGGAACACTAAGGAGCAAATAGGTAACAACCACCAAGCGTACATATTATAGCTACCAATTTGCCTGCTGCCTTCCTTGTTTGGTAGGCCACGATAATTGACGCTTATTTGCGAGTAAAGCAGCCGTAAATGTACTCCCATTATTTCCACCCCATCCGACAAGCATTACTCCAACCTTTGGAACTTTGCGACTAGTGCGAATGTTTAAAGTATCCGTTTGAGGTGTAATCTAAAAACAATCGAGTTAACAAATGAACCTTTGGAAAGACTAGGGGCACAGCAAAATGTCAAGGCATTGGACATTAGAATATTTACCACAAATTGATCTTCCTTTTTGTCCACTTTCGTGGTGTGATAACTGTAATCGGCTTCAATAAAAGCATCTGTATATCTTACATTATCACTGTTTACAAATACCGCCATTATAACCCTCTTTTGTTTCACACACACAATTTCTGCATCAAAGGTTATGTGCAAGAAACCACAAATCACATACTTCTACTGCACAGATCACAGGATGCGGGGTGCCGATTAAAGAATGAAAGAACACATCCCCTAAATTTCTATGTCTTGTAAACTGTAACCGGTTTGTAATGTCAGCAATCAGTATAATACCGAAATGACGAAGAATAAAGGTTGCCGCACACTTGTACGTTCCGTCACGTTACGGACCTTTAAACAACGTTCACCATAAAAGACCTTGAATTAAACGTCTCTGCGCACATTAACCCGTTCCGTCACGACTCACAAGGGTGCGTTATTGTTGTCTGGGAAAAATGTAAAAATTTGCATAATTAATGCTCATTCGGTTACTATGAAAACTGAAAAGAAAGTTACACCAAACTCGACGGTCTCGTTTGAACTCGAGTTGAAAAACTCCACTTTCTTCTCTTGTACAAATAACTATTTTACGTGGCGTTTATGCGTTTTACAAAACCTGCCAAACAAGGATGATTATACAAACAACGTGCCAGACAAGGATGAAGATACCTCCACAGCCTACGTTAGGCGGAACGCGATTTTGGTTATCGATGCCCTTCCAGTTACAGCAGTGGCGAATTGAGTTATCATCATAGCTATTAGGTATTTAGGTAATACTCCGCTATCCGCTCCGCCCACTTTAAAATAAAGGCAAGGTAGGTATATATAGAGAGCAATTTTGGTTTTGGTTGAAGTATAAAGTCACTAAAATCTAAATATTCTGTAGTATTCAGTATTCACTATTCAGTGAGTGATCAGTGTTGGCAGTCAACGATTTGGCTATTCGGCATCGATCGGCAATTCGCTACATTGGTGCCCAAAATAACAAATAGGTATCAGGTACTTAGTACTGCTACTGAGGTGAGGTACCTGCGTCCCGCCTTTCATGAAATGACGAAAATAAGAATTTTAAATTTTAAAAATAGGAATTTTTTTGCCCATAACTTTTGATGGAGACGTCTAATCGAAAAAGTACGAATCGTTTTGGATTCTACGCACCCAAATTAATAAGAAAAAATTTTTTCCCGAGAAATTTTGGTGCAGTCGATTTTTGGTAAAAAAGGAAGGTAATAATTACCGCCTTTTTTTTGCCCAGGAAAAAAAATTGTTTCTTATAGAATGTGGCCTGTAGAATCCATAATTCCAAACAGTTCCAAGATCGGACTACTAGATCAAAAGTTACAGCCCTTTGAATTTTTTGTCGAAATTGGTTTTTTGCCCATAACTTTTGATGGAGACGTCTAATCGAACAAGTACGAATCGTTTTGGATTTTACGCACCCAAATTAATAAGAAGAAGTTTTTTCCCGAGAAATTTTGGTGCAGTCGATTTTTGGTAAAAAAGGAAGGTAATAACTGCTTTTTGCCCAGAAAAAAAATTGTCTCAGATCGACCGGAAAAAATATTTTCTTATAGAATGTGGTCTGTAGAATCCATAATTCCAAACAGTTCCAAGATCGGACTGCTAGATCAAAAGTTACAGTCCTTTGAATTTTTTGTCGAAATTGGTTTTTTGCCCATAAATATACCTATTATTCAAAGTTTTCGTTGACTAATTAAAACAAAAGCAATAAAGGAGCCTGTCAGCAGTAAGAAATAAAATACCGTTCTAATCTAATCTTTTTCGCCTGTACAATAATAAATAGATAAATGACTACCAGCATCAGCAACCCAATTTCTATTTCTTACCCCCCCCCCTTCTAGTACGCACTGGGTGACTGTATGTGCCACGAACTTGTTTAATCCCCCCCCAGAATACATTTATACGTACGCCACTGAGTCACAGGGTGTATAGTGCAATAATGCGCATGCGGAGACTGCGCAATGTCAATTTTTTTTATTTATGGAAATATTTTTTTGAAATTATAAGCACATATGCTTCTAGTAAAGACAAACATACCGCATATTGGAAAAATAAGATGTACGCATGCGTAAACTGCGCAATGTCAACATTTTTATGTATTGAAGTTTTTTGAAATTTGAACCAAAGATACTTCTAGTGAACGCAAACATATCACATATTTTAAACATCAAGTATGCGCATGCGCAATGCTAAGTTGTTTATTTATAAGAATATTTATGCCTTAATTTATTTTCCTATACATAAATAGTAAGCGGTTCGATTAAAAAAAAGATACTGACACTGCCGAAGTCTGGTATCAGGGGCTTTTTCAACATGAAACTATCATCCTACAGGCACAAAAAATGGTCAAAATTTGCTATACTCTTTGTTTAAAACAATTTTTGATTCAACATGCAATTGAATATTTTTCCAAGAATTTCCCCATTAAAACAACAATTCCCGCAATGTTTATAATTTAAAGTTTGACCTGTACTATACAATTTAGGTATGAGCATAATGCTCCTAATATTGGAAGAATGTCCCATCTCTGTCCTGCCTGCAGTATCCTGCGTTTGTTTGTGGAGCATGGTGAGAGGAATTCATTAACTTTACATGGCATAGATGGTCTCTTTCCCTTATACCGCCTATTACAACAGGGTGACTCTGAAAAAAGTGTGCCATCACTCATTTAAACAAAATATAAGTACGTTATTATATTTTTCTATTTCTTTCTGAAGAGATAGTAATTTGGAAAAGCTGAAAGGTGGAGACTTTGGATGGGGTCGTGCATCTAAGTCTCTAGTATTCCTAAGTCTTTTCCATGTTGTGTTTCCCAATGTTTCCATTTGTAAACACGGAATAACCTTTTCCCCGAATAAGTCTGTGTTATGATTATACGAGCTCACCAATAGGAAGTCCAAACTGTCTGCAGGTATAAGATGGCTGCAATAAACACATTCTACTCACATTTCTACATAAATACTGTATACACCTGAACGGTTTAAAATAAGCACTTCTACGCGTACTGGCTAGAGTTTGATGAGCATATAGACGATCGCATGGTCTAAGCCCATCACACTCGAATTTGGCAGGGAATTTCTTTGTTATAGTTCCTTCCGTATGCAAGTATGGTACGCAACCTTTATTGCGGACACGTCTACTCATTATGACCTGCATGAAATAAAATAAAATTGCAAAAAATTTACTTGGCAATCACAGAGAATTAATAAAAAGAACTTGTTGCTAGGATACTGATCAATAAATACCAATTAATCACGTTTGTCATAATTTATTGATTGAAAATTTTTGTTGTATAACATTCAATGGACATCTATGATGAAGAGTTCACCAGACTTACGATGTTAGCTAAGCAGATGATTTCGAAAATTGAAAGAAAAAAAGGTGGTCCCCTGATCCTGACCGACTGATTGTGTATTTCGTTACAGATAGAGAAATATTATCAAAATGGATAAGAAAATTAATAGGGCTAAAATCTTACGATCCTGTTGTTAAAAAAAATCGCAATCATTTTTTTAAATACATGTTGACCGTGCTACATAAAGGATTAAAGGTAGATCCGGTCGCACATTACGGTTATCCACAGTACGACGAAAGGGTACGTATTGTTTTGCAAAAGTAATGCCTTTGTAAGCGAAATGTTGCAGTATCAACAGGTGGATGGACAAAATTGGTCACAAGAACAAGGGTTTATGAAACGTTGGTCCAATGATAAAAAAACCTATGTCGCCGCTAAACCGTTACCGGGAAAAGGTGCATTGGTGTATATGGCGGTGGCGAAAGATCCGACACTTGGTTGGGAAATTCCAAATCGAAAGTGAACAATTTGTATTTACAATTTGAGTTCATGTTACAAAATTATCGGCGCTTGTGCGTTTCCTTTTTTTTCTTTCCTTTACCGGGAGCATTCTTCTGGAGGGACCTCTTCCGTTTTGTATTTATGGGTTTTCTGCTTCGTTGAGATTTTTTACTCGTCTCCTCTTTATCATCGGAGTTCCTACAAGTTCCATCAAAATTACCAAATACTGGTATGGTCCGTACCTACCCAGAATATTTTAAATGTCTACCAACTGCCTTCTCAACGTTAAGCTTCGGACGTCCACTAATCACAGAATTAACGATGTTCATATTATTTTGCTTTTCGTCCCAAGTTGAAACTGCGCCAGATTTACTTTTAACGCTAGAATTGGGCATTAACCTTCGTAAACCGCGGCCTTCCTTCTCTTTAGGTAATTTGTTTTGGAATTTTCCCAAGCTGGCAGTTGCAGAACGTGTCAGCGTCACTGCGGTTTGCAACTAAAAAAATGAATATACAGAATTATGTTGGGCGTAGCCCCCCTTACCTCTTTAGCCGAAGACAACTCGGAGTTTGTCAACCCGAGTCGCGGGATCTTGATCTTTTTAGCTTTAGCGATGTTACGCAAACGTTGAAGTTCATTCTTAGCGACATTTTCACGCTTGCCGGTTTTTTTCTTTAAGAACTGATCTTCCATCGGATCGCTTGTGGCTGGAACTTCCAGAACCCAGTCTTTTTCTTTGTCCGCCTGCGCTCGTTTGTAACCGTACGAGGGAATCCACTTGTTTAGCTGATCGTCCCAGTTTTGTTTAGTCTTTTTAGTTTTTTTGATGCCCTTTGCCTTCGCAAACTGCTCCCATTTTGTTAATGGTTTCGATTTCGGTAAAGGTCTCGATCGGGGCAGAACAAAATTCGACGAAGGCAATTTGGCCACAATAGACTCCTCTACTCGATCCGTAGGTAATCTCCAAATTTCGTTAAACAGTAATTGAACATTGTCCCGAGATAATTGCTTGGTGTAATCGTTTTTATCTTTTCTGTGGAAACGAAAGGTAATGCAATTTAAAAAGTGGCATAAGAAAACTTACCTTAAACGTGTCAAATCCAAGCTGTTGATGTCCGTAGCTAAGAGTGTACCTAGGTCATATTCGAGCTGTAAATGTTTGTTTACAGTTATTGAATTTTCAGTTTCTCTCAATGATTTGTCGACAATATTAGATATATAAGCGTTCATTCTCAATGTACTACATATAACGAAATTCACTAAATGCACAAACCCAAAATGTGGTTTTCAGAAATGAACAAAAACATAACCTCGCAAACCATCAACATAACCTCTCTTTTCGGATATATGTACACTGTACAGGATATGTAGTAAATACCGGTGCTTTCGATACGTGCATGGTTATTTAAAAACATACTCCAGGATCTCCACTCACACATGCATATTTTTTTAAAATAGAAAATGGGGTATTTGTTCTCAGTCTCCATTTTTGATGAGAAAAAGGGGACAATTTTATGTGACCACAAGTCAAAGTAGTACCTTAAAATCAAGGAATCGCTACAGTTAATACAAAAGTCAAATGCAGTTTTTGCTATATACATTTATATTTTACCATACACAAAAATGAGATACACGAATTTTTAAGCATTCACAAATTATTAGGATCATAATGTAAATATATAATAATTTATTGCTGTAAACTACCTTCTTAGATACAATCTATTCTTTAAGCATTAAAATTCACAAATTAAGGTGATAATAAATAAATTTCTAATATATTATTGCAAGCTTTTTTGGAACAAAATCATACTTCAAATGCAAATCATCGATAGATTGATAGATATGTGATGAATTACAGGTTACAGTTAATTGTTTACATTAAAGTTTGATAAAAAATGGTTCAGTACACTGTGCTTAGATTAAAGTTGTGCACACAGACAAAACCACCCACCGGAAGAAATGTACATTTTTAGACAAATGTTTTATATCAAATTTATATAATGTAGATGTAAAAAAGCTATAAAATACTTATCTCAAAATAACGTGGTGGGCTAATCTGACACACCCAAAATGTAAAACCGCTTTAGTACACACAATTTTTGAGGTATGCCTACAGGACATTTGAATCTATAGACAATAACTTACGTATACGTCGCACCTAGTGCTATCTACATTTTCGACATATAAAATGTTTACAAAAGTATAAATGTGTAAAATACGTTTTCAGCCTTATTTTAAAACAGTAACCTCCCAAACGCTAAGAGTGTGCCATTTGAATATGTTATTTAATAATCCCTGCATGAGGTAATTGAGTAACCTTAACATCATTTGAATTAATATCTTTGGCTGGCTGGTATCATTCTGTAACTAGAAAGTTACTAAGTTTCATATGCCGCAATGATGAAATTTAAAACCTTCACCTTTCATTTACACCATGACTTGTGTAATTTAATCTGTACAAACGCTTGTATTGTTTTTGTGTTATGGAAGGTGTATAGTATTGGATTTAAAGCCAATTAACATAAAAGAACATCAATTTTATACAAAACAGTGCACAAATGTTGATTCCTGATACAGCCACTTTTAAATAAAATTTATATACCTATACATGTGCAAGAAAGCGAGACAATAATAAATACAAATCCTGACATAAAGCGCTTAATACTCCCACTGTGTTGCACTTTCAAACGAAGATTCGCCTAACCGGAATGTTCCATTTTTACTTGCACTTAAATAACTTCCATTAACTGATTTAATACTTAGACGAGTCGGTTCACGCAGTTCCAAATAGAAACCTTCGGGAGTGTCCGAGTCTGCAGTTATTCCTTCTGAATCACAGTGCCAGTATTTACCATTTTGACCTACAATAAACAATAGGTTTTAAATATCTAACATCGTAAATTAATCATTTTTAAGTGAACTGAGTTTCGAACAAGACTGCTCTACCAAGCCAACTCAGTATAAAAATTTGTATGAAAACTTCCTCCACAAAATAAACGAGAATGTAAAATAGCACTGATTAAAAAAAATTGCTTATTCCAAATATCTATAATCTGATGTTCACCCAACAGACGCAGTTAAGCCACTCCCAATAAATTTTGGCCAATGTAATAACACACCCATTTCACAGTCACAAAATTATAAAAACCGGGAAATTTAAAATCGCATGTCACATTGTATGACTAGGTTATAAAGTGCTAGGTTTTGAATATTGACCTTTAAACATACAGCAGTACATAGTTTCAAATTGTTTATTAAGTTCAAAAAGATTACTTTGTTCATATAAATGAAATTAACGACAAATTGAGGAAAGGCACATACAAAACGCAATGACAGGTTTAAAGATGTCAATTTAGACACGGCAATTATAATTGGAAGCAAATAATTGCGTGTTACAGGTTTTGAAAATTCGGCCAATTAAAAATGTTCATTTAAATTTGCCGGGAATTTTTTGGGAGGAGCTTAACTGCATCTGTTGGGTGAACAAATAATAGACGCAAATTTACAAATGCATGCCCCATGGCAACATTGTATGTACTTCTAAATAGGCGTGGATGTGCAACCCTTTCTTTTATTTTTTTTTTTTTATTTTATTATCCCTCTCTTGTTTTTGGGCCCTCAACAGGCATGCGCCCAATTACAGAGTGACCCGCATAATGCTATTTAGAGGTGCCTCTGCAGAAGGTCTTAAGATGGTCTATACTACTCCGGTATTTACCTTACGAATTAGGAAAACTGCAGGAAAACCTAATTCGGAGTAGCTGGTAGAATGCTCGGAACTGGCCTAAGGTTAATTTCCATCTCCGCCACAGATGAAAAATTCACCTCAACCCAGGTTCGAACACCCGACCTTCGGATTTATAACCCAATGCTCTTACCACTGAGCCATAAATCCGATTCTTAATGCAAGTACTTACCTTTGAAGTATATTACTCCCTTATCTGCCCTTTCAACTTGGATCGTTTCATAGGTAGCTTTGTTACATTCTAATTTAGGATTATTGCCCGATTTATATCCCACAAAGCCTTGCTCACTTTTAAGGACTAGAATAGGTCGATTAATTAGGTAGAAGAAATATTTGCAATTTTCATCCATGTTATCGGCCGTGGCGTAGAGATGACCCGATCTCTTCGTAATAACATACCTCCCGTTATTCGCACGAAACGCGACGGAACCGTCTCCTTGCCAAATTAAATCGAATAAAGCATTGGACGACCTAGATATTAAAAAAAATTATAATTATCACATAGTAGTAAAAAATATATTTGAGAAACAATTGTATGTAAGCATAAGTTTTGATTTAAATTTAAAAGCCAACCGTTTTCGTGTCACTGCCACTGTTGGTAGAAAATACCAATGTCTACAGCAGCTGTAAGTGGAATTACAGCGGCAAGAAGTCATAGTCTTTCAAGCAGAGGTCCTCATAGATCTAGAAATCGGTAAGAAGGGGTCAAAAAAGGACATCCTCACAGACAGTGAAGCTGCACTGAAGGCGTTCATAGCTCGTACCCGTGACTCCAAACTAGTCTGGGAGTGCGTCTGCAATCTAAAGACATTGGCAACTGGCTACCACATCACCCTATATGATGGATGCCAGGATATTCAGATGTTGCAGGTAACATGAAGGCAGATGAACTGGCCAAACAAGGTGCCAATAAGGCTGGAGCCCTTCTATGAACTGACCAAAAGCCCCATAAAAGTGATAGTAAATATACAGGGTGATCCAAAATTGAGTGCAAAGATTTTAAGGCCGTATTAACAAGCCAAAAATAAGACATTTTTTTCATATAATCGTATGTCCTAACTTGCTTCGTTTTCTAGATACAGGGTGTAAGTTTTTTTTTAAAATCGAATTTTTTATCAATTATTCAAAAACCTTTAAGCTGATTTAAATAAAATTTGGTAGGCTTATTTGTCGTCCTTTGATGGGAATAAAATAAATAAAAACCGACTTTTTAAAAAACTTTTACACCCAGCATCTAGAAACGAACTTATTTTTGGCTGGTAAATATGCCCTTAAAATCTTTGCACTCTATTTTGAATCACCCTGTATAACAGATATTGAAAAATTTACCATTTACCATTCAATTTGTGCAGAACTTCTTTATTTATTTAACCATAAATCTCATTAGATTATAATTACATGAACTCCTGGATAGTATCCGAGGATAAACTTACAATACAATGTACTCACCTTTTATCGCCATTTGCCTGAATCCCGCCGCCAGTTTCTAGGGTCCAATAACGATCTTGCATTGTACGAATGTACCACCTCTTTGTGTTCCAGTCAAACTCCAGCTGGAATGTTTCGTGATCGGATATTTCATCTTGATTGGCAGTTACATCCACACCTGTAGAAAATTAGAGAATCTTTAGCCGATTTATTTCTGTATTAGCTTCAACTAATTTGAATTTTAGGTGTTTTGCATTAAAGGAGAATTGACCATCCGATAAACAGTTCCATAGGAGACTTGTTTGTTAAAATTATTGTTATGCTGCTATGAACAATACCATCACTACAACTTAATTAAAAGTCAAAACCATTCTTTTAGTATTACTTCATAAATATTAAGTAGGTACCTATTGTATACACTGCAATCAAATGCTCTTAAAGATTAGTCGATAGTCTTCAATGGTAAATAATAAACATATATTCTTTTTGCCAACTGTAAAATTATAATTCCAAATTAAAAACAGGTAGCTCATATAAGTGATTCATATTATTTACCGGTAGATACGTGCATACATCGTGATTTAAACATTTCAATGGTAAAAATGTACCTACATTCCAAAACGGGACATTTAGAGTGTACAGGGTGGCCAACTAAGAATGCGAGGTACTGTACCTGAGAATCTATCCATCGCAGAGGCTTGCGGTAAAAAAATTTATTACTAAAATGGCCACGAGCAAAACCTGGAACCTGGAACATATTTTTAAGTTTCTGAAATGACCGCTAGGGGGCGTAACTGCAATCTGGGATCTAAAAAAGTGATGTTTCTGTGAATTCCGCTATATTAACCTAACAAAAAAATGTCCAGTCTTTGAAGTTGACGATAATCTGAACAATTTTTCCTGTATCTCTAAAAATGAAGTGGTGGGGGGTATTCAAAGGTTTCCGTAAAGAACACCCTGTATCTTCGAAACGGCTGAGCCGATCTAAACAAACTCGGGTTAGTTAAAAAGATCTATTCTTCAGCTACATATATTAACACTATTTGAAGTTTTGTTAGTTTCACATATCACCGCTTGAGGGATTCGACATTCCGACAGAAATGGTTCATTTTCTCAAAAAAATTAAATGCATTAGTTTTTTTTTCATGAAAAAGTAGCTAAATGATGCCTAAACAAACTCGCGAAAACAGCATCTCGATATCTTGAGATATATATATATTTTTTTATATCGTGATGGCCAGCATTACGGCGGCACTAAAAGCTTCCTTTTTTTAAATCGATCCACCTTAGGGCCACAAATTATATATTAAAAATAATTCCGAAAAAATTCGCTTAAACAAATAAAATTTTAAGGGTATAAAATTTTCTTTGACCTAAATTTTAGGTTAGGAACAAGATATCGAGATGCTGTTTTCGCGAGCTTGTTTAGGCATCATTTAGCTACCTTTTCATGAAAAAAAAATCAAACCAATGCATTTAATTTTTTTGAGAAAATTAACCGTTTCTGTCGGAATGTCGAAAAAAGCCCTCAAGTGGTGATATGTGTAACTAACAAAACTTCAAATAGTATAATATTTGTAGCTGAAGAATAGATCTTTTGAACTAACCCGAGTTTGTTTAAATCGGCTCAGCCGTTTCGAGGATACAGGGTGTTCTTTACGGAAACCTTTGAATACCCCCCACCACTTCATTTTTAGAGATACAAGAAAAATTTTCAAACAAAAAAAGGTTCAGATTATTGTCAACTTCAAAGACCGGACATTTTTTTGTTAGGTTAATATAGCGGAATTCATAGAAACATCACATTTTTAGATTCCAGATTGCCGTTACGCCCCCTAGCGGCCATTGCAGAAACTTAAAAATATTTTCCAGGTTTTTCTCGTGGCCGTTTTAGTAATAAATTTTTTTACCGAAAGCCTCTACGATGGACAGGTTCCCAGATACAGTACCTCGCATTCTTATTTGGCCACCCTGTACACCTCAAACGAGAGTGGAAAAAATTCTGAATTCAACAAAATTTGGAAAAATCCTAGATTTGAAGTTAGTTTATTTCAGTTCCATTTGCGCATGCGCAACAACTTTCAGGCGAGGAGAGCGCATGTTCCAAGGCGGTTGAGACGTCAAAATCCCTCAAAAGATTTGGGGTTCTTGGTTTATTTAGAAAAACCTACCGAATATCCTTATATCAATTATTAGCTTTACCTTGCTTCACGGAAATGTATCTCGAGTTGAGGGATGCTACAAAACTAGCTTGAGGAAGAGAGTCCTCGAGGGAAAAGAGCTCATCTTTGGTTACCGTGTTAGAACGAGTTTTTAAGACAGCTTTAGATCCGATGGGACTAAGATATGCTCCGCTTTTATCTCTTAGGGCCAACTGTCCACTATGATATTCTGCCGAAAATAGGCAGTCCTTATTGCACGCGTCGACCAGTTTACCTGCAATCAAAAAAATGTAGTTTGACTTAATCGTAAATGTACCCACCTCCGGACGATAGATACTTGTTGTTACACGTGTGAAGAGCGTATTTCCCGGATTCATCCGCTCTAAATTCTAAAGTAAATAACGTATCTTCGCCCCAAGGAATATTAGCATCGACATGGATTTCGTCTAAGTTTTCGGACAAATGCGCAAACCGCTTCCTACCCACGGATCGAAGATTTACCTAATGGAGCGATAAGAATATATAGCTTTTTCATGGCGATAATACCTGAGGTCGGGCGGCAAGATGTACGTTCCAAAATTCAGCATCCGTAGGAACTTTGGCGGTACATGTTAACTTATCCGAACTCGAACCGAGGAAGTAGCCGCGCACGACATTTCGTAGTGCCCATCGTCCGGTACCGTCATCGGAGACGCTAATTTGGAATTGGCTGCCCGGTTCTTTTTCTTCACTTTCGCAAGTAACATTGCCAAATGAATCCACTGCCAAGTATTTGTCCAAATGTGATCTTAGGTATATGTAACCTGAAACCGATCTTTATGTTACAACAAAACAGATTGCAAAATAAATGTATTTAAAAGGTTGATTAGTGAACCAAGAGTATTTGACTAGTGGAAACATCCATGGTAAGATCAGACACCGTATAGGACACTTACTATCGCCTCCGTTGGAGCAATCAGGTTCCAAAGTCCAGATCTGCTTCTTTTTTAAAGAAGCTCCATTCGCGTTGATTTTGAATCCGAACGTTTCTGCAGTAAGGTAACGAAATTTGGAATTGATTAATCCTATGGTCCAACAACCCTTTTGCTGATTTTGGGTTATTATATCTCCGCCGTTCAATTCACCGTTAGCGTAGCCGTTTAATCCATTCATATTTCTTACTGTAACAATAACAAATTACATTTAAGTTTTTTTTCAACATACCTATAGCCGTTTAGTAAACATTTTTATTGCGTTTTGTGCAAGTTTGTCTAATTTTATAAACCCATTTGCAAAAAACTTTAATTTTCCACACCCCCCACCCCTTTGTAGGAAATTAAGTTGTATATTATTCGCGTTCTATACATTTTTTGCATCGTTTTCCTAGCAAAAAAAAAACAGGGGCCATACATGTCCCATTTCTGGAATACATATAAAGGGAAGTCAAAATAATGGGTGGCAGTGGCGATCAAAATAAGGATTGAATTTGTAAATAAGTTGAGGGGTAACTTTCCTCTTTATTTTTCAACAAACGTATAGGAAGATGAATTAGGTAACTGCATTACCTTGGCACAAAACAAACAAGTAAAAAGGTTTTCGCCCTAAGGCGAGTAACTTCAGCGCATTTCATGAATGATCAGTAGGTACTTCCCAAAAGGCGCTGTGATTTTCTTTACTAGAGGCATATATGGTTCAAATTTCAAAGAAATATCTCCATGAACAAAAAAGTTGGCGTTGCGCAGTTGGCATTTTGCAGTCTGCGCATGCGTGGATTTGATTTTTACTATGTGCGATATGTTTACTTTTCCTAATGGCATTTGTAGTTTTCGATTTTTACTAAATGTGATGTTTTTCTTTACTAGAAGCATCTATGGTTAAAATTTCAAAGAAATATCTTGATAAATAAAGAAGTTGGCACTGACTGCGCATATCTAATTTTTGCAATATAGACGGACGACGGAAAGGGACCTTCAAACATGATTGAAAATGCACAAAAAAATGCTGTACGGGTTATTCACTAACCTAACTTCGCGTTTCTCAAAGTGTGCTGCGCGGAGCCCCATGGACCGATACCTGGGAGCATATAAAAAACCGCGTATTTCCGAAGTACCAGAAGAACCAACGCCTGGGTCTTCTAATATAAGTATTTCCTTAAAAAAGGACTGCGATGACAATTGGAGGCGCTAAAAGTGGGTATTTGAACTTAAATTTTTGAAAAATTTCTCCCGGACTCCCCTCTTACATGTGTGGGGGGGAGGGGGGGCTCAGTATCCCCATACCCCTCGGTTGAGTATGCCTCACTCCCGGCGGCTCTGTCGTCACCTTACATTCCATTGTATAAGGGCTCTGTGTTTAAAAAAGTTTGAGAAACGCTGTTCTAACTCATTTTCTATCAAATTTTACTAAAATAACTTTAATACATAAGTTGTTTAGCCTAAGCACAATTTTTCAAATTCGGTAGTAGTTATTATTTATAAGGGTGTTTCAAAAGGGGCCCACAGGCATTTTAGTTTAGGATCTACATATGAGTTCCAAGATAGATCTTTAACGGTTTTTGTAACAGTGATGATTTATAACTACATAGATATATCGAAAAGAGATTACTATATATAGCTTCAGTTGCCTTCATACTGGATCTTAAATAATTGTGGTTTAGTATAGAAATTGTTACTTTCCATTTCTAAATGGCCAATCGTTATGTAATTATCTGCAGCAATAAAAATAATAAATCAAAATGGACACCTACAGTCCAGATACAAAGCCTCAAATTTGAATTATTTGAAAATTCAACAATCTTTATCTCGAAAACGGTAAAAAAAATATTATAGATCTATTGTTTATAGATTTGTATTGGAATCTAAAAATCGAATAAAATACAGGGTGTCTCATTTAGAATTTTCAAGTTGAGGGCCTGGAACCACTTTTGAGACACCGTGTATAAATAATACTAAGCTAGAGAGGGAAGGGGAGACGACACACTACTTTGACTCGGATATTACAAGCACTCTTCCCCAATGAAGGTATTGTACTTAAATATATTCTCGACAGTATTGTGTCATTTTCCGGACTTTTATGCAAATAACTATTAAATTGAATAAGACACACGCATCACACACATTTTTTCCGGGAAAACGATGTAGAGTGATCCCTTCTAAAATTATACAAAATTGAGATGTGACACCCTTTTAATTTCATTAGTTAAACCGCAAAATTGGGCCGGGGCGGACAGACAAAACGAAAACAGTAGCACATTTTTTTATTTGTTAAGGGCAATAAAAAGCATTTCCAAAAATTATGGTTGAAGTGCTAAGGGCGCTACAGATTTCGGAGAAGAATATAGAACCGGGGGGTCTGCGGGGTATGGAATGTTAATTTCCGTACAATCTTCGCATGCTTGAGGGTATTCCAGACACTCCCCGGTTCTGCCTATATTCTGACGGTTTTTAGGGAGAACATAGAACCGGAGGGGGGGGGGGGCATGGAATGCGAAGGTCTTATGAAAATTGTAGGGACATGAACATTATATCCGCTAATGATAATTAAAAAATAATAATAATAATACCTAATATTTTATTATCCAAACAAGTAAATATACTCAATAACAGGACAATATTCCAAAAAATTACAAAATCAAAAGTACATGCGAGTATATAATAATAATAAGCCCATTACAGTAAATCTAAAAGAAATATTTTTAAGGGACTGGGGGGGGGGGATGACTTTCAGGTGGGCGAAATCGTCTCAGTCGGAAATTACAGCGATTTATAATTCCCAAATTAATTAAACAGAAGTCCCAAAGCCTTGGGATTGCAATTAATTGATAATTACCTACTTGATAGATATCTAGATAATAAATACCAATAACGACTTTGCGCTAGAAAAAGCACGCATCGTTAAATCGCAAGTGGAAGCTAGACTTACCTACCTACCTTACTGTTCTGCTCTAATTTGTGCTTAAAGTGTGTGAACTTCGTAATAAAAACATGCATTTAATTAAGACTCAAATTAAGATGATTACGTAGGATATCCGGCACGCCGATAACTCATGATTATAAAGACACTTATCAATTATCATACATAATTTTTTTCAGTTTTTATTATTTTTATAACGATTGGTCACAGGAAATGGATATGCAACAACACGTAGCGTATTTATTTGACATTGCCAATAGTAAAATGGACAATACATAAATATTAGCTTAACACGTTAGAGGTAGACTTATTAATTAATAAACTAATGAGATAGTTTCTCATCTCTTTTCTGTTACAGTAAATTCATTTTTCATCGCGTTTCCGCAGTAATTGTTGTGTAAATGGACAATTATTTCACCTACTCAAACACTTACGTACTTTGAAACGGAGAAAAAGATGCGTACCCCATGGCATTGTTGATGACCGGATATAAACGACTGAATATCAATGAGGTAGGTAGTTACCTAGCCTTATTTGATTTATGAGCGTTTCCTGCTACAGAGTACCTACACCTCGGGGACTTTTGGAGGGTGGTGGTCCAACCTGATATTTTAAAATAATAAATATATTGATATATGCTTGAAATCAATACTATTTCAATACATTTTTTGAATTTAGTACTATTTGTATTAATTTTGTTTAATCTACTTGAATGTTTTTTGAATCATTTAAAATGTTGTATATCATCCCTGGCGTGCACATTTTTGGAAAAAGAATCATATGCAGTCTTTTAAGATGAAAATATACAGGGTGTTCTATTTAAAAAATGAGCTTAAATCCGATAACTTTTTATCTGACCCCGTATAATTAATTTGAAAAACGGTAGATTATTCAACAATCATTACAAAGAAACTTTTGTATACAATATTTGTCTTTTAACTAAGAAAATATAAGGTCATTCTGAAATTGACAATGTTTCGGTTTTCAGCCGTATCTCTTATTTACCATTTTAAGTTTTACCCAAAAGGAGCACAATTGCGCCTATATGACTTTTTTGATTAACCCTATAAATGTCGAAAATGGGACACCCTGTACATTTCTAAGTTTTCTGTGCTGAAATCTTCGCGACTCTAGCATGAGGAGTGTTCATGCAAAAGGGGACACCTCTTCTACTAATAGTAACTGCAAAAAACGAACTGCGACCGGGCAATCGATTGACAGTGTTACAATTTACCATAAAAATGGATATGTCCCTTTTTGAATGAACGCTCCTCAAATGTGCTTGTATACGGAAAAAGGACGCGTTCTAAAGCAACATTTCTAATCGGCGCTAAAATCAAAAAAATATTGAGGAAATTTTACTAACGGGCGATCAAAAATCAGTTGCTGTCGAGTCGCCTTTGGAAGTTCAAGTTTCCCATGAAAACAAAAATTCCAAGGGTGACTCGACAGCAACTCATTTTCCATCGCATAGTATAATAGTTTATGGAATCTGTTTTTCAATTGTTTCGCCTACAAGGTAGTTGTTCCGGAAGTTTCAGCGTTTTCTATTTCCTTCCGGAACGACTTTTTTTCAGGTACTTTGTAACCGCAAAAATTGCACCACATCAGTAGATCCTCGTAAAATTGGGTTCTTTTTTGTTACTCAGTCAGTAAAGTTTGTTAATTATAATCATTGCTACATACCATGGTGTATAATAAAAACACACCATAGTCAGCAAGTATTTCATTTTCGTTTCTTGGGCAGCTCAAAAATCGACGGTACTCCCCGCAGCTCACAATAAATACATGATATAGCACATTTCAGGGTACATTCAATTTGTACAAAATGTATGCGAATCCGTTACAGCTTACAGATCCTCCTTACCATGGACTAATTACAATTTTAGTTCTTACCAACGACCAAAATTTAATTGTTAAAACTGATATTTTTTATTCATATTCATGTTGTGAACAGCGTTTAATTAAAGATTATTCCATTATGACTTAACTAAAGCGGGAAATGAATACAGAAACAGGTTAATTAATTGTGCAAAAGTAAAGTACAATTAAACAAATTGCAAACCGTGAAGTGCACGTTACCAAACCTTTCGAGATCCAGTTAGAATAGGCGAATTAATTTTAATTGTAAATTTTTTTATGCAATTATGACGTCGCTAAGAAAAAAGCAATTAATAGATTAATGCATCTGTGAAGAAAGTCGAGGATTCGATAAACGGAGATATTCTTGCGGTATTTTGTTGCTGTGTACATCGGCCTCTACGGATAGGTCAATAAATACAGCGAAGCCGTTACTCTCGACCCTGGCATTGACTTTGTCTTGCAACGTCCACGAAAGCAGAGATGAAATTTGTCGCAGTAAATTTATTGGAAGACGATGTGAATTTTTAGCGGGCGCAAATTTTTTATATCGCCCCCTTACAGACAACGCCCTTTCTTTATCGGTGCATACAAATAGACACAGGTTCAAAGCGCACATGATGATAAGTGGGGTGGATAACCAAACGTCCTTGAGTGATAAATGAAATTCCCAGATAAAAGAGGAACAATTTCTATTTTAATCTCCATAATAGAAATGCAACAAAGAATGTATATTTTATAGCGTCCCACAAAAACGTACCTAATAATGGTATAAATCGTGACATTATTTGTCACAAATTAACATTCTACCCCAACATGTAGGTATGAATAAGAAATAACCCCCGAACTTACCTCACCACCGGTGAACTTGCACAGTTGTTAAGGATAAAGAAATTGAATTTTTTGCACTCCTCCTCTATGAAAATCACGATCTCTTTATACTACCACTGACAGCTTCTAAGACGTCCTTTCAACACTACACGTAAACTCAACTGCCAAATGAAGTGTGTGCAACAAAACCTTTTATACCAGGGTGGGGAGCTCAAGAGAAGTTGGTTTTACAATGGAATAAGTATTCTATGCAGGGGGTAAGGATTCTTTTGCCGGTAACTAGAAGAATATTGTACAATCTCCTGTAAATTTAGGTATGTCATGGTCATCTATCAATGCACCTAAATCGCAATATAAGTCAATACCTGTATGGATCTCTTATCGACGTGACCGTTGGAAACCGTAACAAATGCAATTACCCAAAACCAATTAAACATAGTAAGTATTTGGGTGGCAATTAATTAAAGTTATCGGAACGTAACATAGCGTACCTATCACGCCAATTAAAACCAAACTCCACCAAACCGAACGGTTATGCTTATGCTACAAGTGTATGATCTTATCAAGTGATAGGTAGGTACCTAATATAATTTGCAGATTTGTAATTAAGAATATCTACGTTTATTCACTTGAACAAATTTAGGCGCGTTCTAAAATTTAAAATTTGCACAGTTTTGATTGGCTACTCATGAAGTCTTTCTTGAATTCAAATTTTTACATGCGAATAATTAAGGATTCGTACAATCAAGTACTTACGAATTTTGACCTGCCCAATAGACTATAATTGAATACGTTTAATACCGCAAGTACCACGTTCGATATTTGTGTATACCAACAACTGGTTTCCAACATGTTAGAATATTTTTTCAATTAACTGTACCTACAGTTATTTTTTCACCATATGGGCAATGTCTTCTCTATAAATACAGTAAAGTGAAGCGCACCGAACGACCATATGTCCCGTTGATATTTTCTCTGACCTATTAAATAATTTTTTGTTTGTTAATCCGGCCCGATAAGCGTAACCATTACAAAAAAGTAGCGCGCGCCTCGATTTATAAGCGCGTCTTGCGTGATTTGTTCCGCTCGCGTGAGGGTTTGAGATCTCAGCATTGAGACCTCTGCTCGAAATGGTCCTGATTCGTAAATAAAAAGGTCCGCTTCGTGTTGTAAACACACACATATTAAAATTTCTGTGTTAAAATTTAACGTTTTCCCTCGCGAATAATTTTCCCTTTAAAAAATCGAGTAGCTCAAAATGGCGTAGCCAATCTACGTATATACTACCTAGACGATAATTGTTGCACCATGTGCCGTGTGTAAATTACAACTTTTTGCAAGCTAAAAATTTTACACACTCCTTTGAGGTAAATTAATCAACAGTTTGTACTATTTTCTAAAACAATGTTCACATAAATTCAAATTTTTTACAGAAGTATGTTTTTGTTTTGATTACATGCTCTTGACAAAAAGTAATATTCATATAAATTTTGATCTTTCTTTTAATACAGTGGAAATAATATATGGAAATTACCGATTCGTTTGATGTATGTACTGAATTGTTGTTTGTAAAGTAAAACAGTCACGGGGTGACAAAAGCAAATAAGTTACAACACCTAATTCCGTGATTATGTTCGACATTAAACTACAGTCTCGAAACCCCGAACGAGAGGCGAGTTACATATCATGGGAGCAAGATTCTGCTAATAAAAACTCTTCAGTTTAGAATCTATGTGAGATATATGAGTTGCGATTCACTGATTTCCACATATATGTTGTAAGATTGAATTTGCCCAACAAGGCCATGTAATTTTCCATCTTGCTCTTAACAAAAGGATTTTATTGCACCAAAGATAAGTCACATCATGTGTACTTCACACCCTTTCAGAACTTACCTACATCATTATTAAACAAACTGTTCATAATTTTAGTTTTTTTTTACGTTCCTTCCCAACCGTTGTTTACAACTAACGTAAGGGGGTCCTGCCTTAGATGTTTGATCACGTGCTAGTTTTCAAATTTAAGCAGGATCTTGTTTAGTTTTGGAAGGAAGTCATTTGGGTGGCCATTTTTAAACGTTGCCAGGTTGAGTTTATTTCAGTGTTCTTGTAGTGTGAAGTTTGCGTAGAACCTGGGGTTTAAGTGCACTACATGCTTCAGGATTGATTTTTTTTCCGTACATCTCGACACCGAGCCGCTGTAAACTTGATTTCTGTTTAATTGGGAAGTGCGAATCACCAATCTGAAACAATCTACAGTTCATACTGGGCGACGCGTTGGAAACATTTCGGCCAGTTAAACGGGAATTGTGTGAAAAACACAGCTCATGTTAATTTCTTACGAAACGTCTTGTAGATGATTCTCAGTTGGAATTAGTGAATTTGAGTTATAATGTTGGTAACATGTTTTGGTGTTGTCAGTATTGTTGCGGTGATGCAACTTCACGATCATTGTGATAGTGGTGTTGGATTTTGTAAACGCCATTGTTATTAAAACATATTGATCGTAAGCGTAATTTGAAGGATTAATTTCTCAATAGAAATTATTAATCATGACGGCACACGATCAAATGCGTGCAATGTTAGACCAGCTAATGGGAACTGGACGCAACGGTAAACTTTTAAAGCACCTCGACATGTCCTTCATTTTAATTCTGAAAAATATTTTCAGGCGAAACAAACAAGTTCCATGTAAGATTTAATGACCCTAAGGTGTGCAAATCGTTTTTGTTAAGCTGTTGCCCGCATGAAATTTTGTCATCAACGGTAAGACCTCAATTTATCTCTTATACTTAGATCCTTTTCCTGATTATCATTCATACAGTTGAAAACGAAGAGATCAAAAACACAAATATAAAAATAAAAATCTATGAACTAATTATCCAACTGTATTTTCAGAAACATCTCAGTTTTCTATTATTACATGAAGATAGGTGTTAGATTTTGTAAGTACAATTACGTACGTATGCAAAAGTATTTCAATAATTAGGTTATCACTTGGCTATTCAAAAATGTGTAACGTTATGACGAGTAAATAAATGGTACTGATTATTCGACGAAGGACTCTCGGCTTAATAAAATGATTATGACATTTATCAAAGTTCGCGTTAAAAGATTTCGGATCATTACCATTTTTGTTACTCTTTATATTCACAACGACTTGGAAGGTGTGGCAAACGTTTCCTTTATACTGTCCTCATAAAGGTTTGGTAAGTAATTCAATATAAACGTAGAAGGCATATTTCATTGGAACTAGGAAAATCGTGCATCTAAAATATCACTTTGTGAGTATACTGGGTTAACATTATTTATCACATTTAGATCAGGTTCCACAAAGAGAAGGCTGTCGGGATATAATTTTACGGTCTATAATCTACACATCAAGTTCTCTCTCATTCGAAGCGATTTATTCCTTAGTGTAATACTGTTTGGATATTATAACATCATACATGTAAATAAAAATGGTGATTGAAACAAATAATAATCAGAGTGTGCAAGAGAAAATTTTGTTTTTCATGGCATGCTTAAAAATGTTTTTTTGATTTTGTTTGCAAAAAAATGCCAATGCTAAGCATCACAGATTTCTAATGAAGGTCTTATTGCATTTTCTGACACAGAGGTTAGAGGCTAAGTTGTGTTGTTTATAGATCTTTCGTAATTGTAATTCAAGTTTTGAGAAAAATTGCTGTTTTTGTGGAATCTGAAAATATGCAAAATCATAATCGTAAGGAGTTTTATCAATACACTTTCATGAATGGTGTGTTCACAATGACAAATTATTTGTTACCTGTTGTATCTTCCCTGTTAAAAATTAAAAAATCCACGAAGACAAGATGTTTCTCATCATTATTGGCGGCGTACACAATCAGATTTTTGAGGAAATGAACTTAAATACTTGTAAGTTTATTGTTTATATTTTATTACTTTCTTATTTTCATTTGTTAAACTGCCGCATATCGAGTAGTGCCTATATACCTTCAGTTTTATTTTTCATGTACGTGTTTAAAAAGAGCATGATCGTAATGGAAAATTTGTTTCTTTGAGTTTTTGTTTTAAGAAATGGTGTTATGTAAAATCAGAGTAAGTATGTTTGGAGAAAACTTCAAGGCCGTAATAAAAACAGTAGGGTACAATAAATCCATGACTACCTATAAATAAAATTGAACTGCGTGACCATCTTCAAGTGGTGGAAACATGTTTACGATCAATAGAAAAGTTGAATGCTTATAGACGTAATGCATGATTGCGAATTATTTTTTTATCTTGAATCGATGGACAACGGTGAAATAATGTACAATCTGTGAACCCCAAAATTCTTTGTAGCGATTAAGTATGCATTGGTCACATTATTATGTAACCAAATCATTTCTTGGTGTTTGTTATGTTAACAGCGGATGGATCTAGGGGAATGTCCCAAAATTCATGACTTGGCTTTGAGAGCAGATTTTGAAAAAGCACAGTCTCATAAGGATTATTTTTACGATCTTGACGTAAGTATATTAAAAGTTGCTCTGTGCGCGTCTGTACAGTAGGTGTTTAAGGCGATGGAGCATCTTCAAGCGTTTATCAGCGATTGTGACCGACGCACCGAAGCCGCCAAGCAAAGACTCGCAGAAACACAGGAGGAACTGTCAGCGGAAGTTGCCGTCAAGGCCAACAATGTGCACGAACTCGCCGAACAGATTGGTCAGAAACTTGCTAAAGCCGAACAGCTGGGAGAGGAGGGATTTGTCGAAGAAAGTATGAAGCTCATGGAAGAAGTAAGATTTCTCCGTCACTTTTTATTAATAATAATAATAATGTTTGTTTTACTTTGTTACGGTACACGATGTACAGGATGGCCAAATAGGAATGCGAGGTACTGTATCTGGGAACCTGTCCATCGTAGAGGCTTGCGGTAAAAAAATTTATTACTAAAACGGCCACGAAAAAAACCTGGAAAATATTTTTAAGTGTCTGCAATGGCCGCTAGGGGGCGTAAGTGCAATCTGGAATCTAAAAAAGTGATTTTTCTGTGAATTCCGTCATATTAACCTAACAAAAAAATTTCCGGTCTTTGATGCTGACGATAATCTGAACCTTTTTTGTTTGACAATTTTTCCTGTATCTCTAAAAATGAAGTGGTGGGGGGTATTCAAAGGTTTCCGTAAAGAACACCCTGTGTCTTCGAAACGACTGAGCCGATTGTAACAAACTCGGGTTAATTGAAAAGAGTTATTCTTCAGCTACAA